TCACGAGCGAAACCGCTAGAGGGGTCTTAGGCGCGCTCGGCATCACGGGCTCCGCCGCGGTTGACCGAACGATCGGGTCGCTCTCCGGCGGCGAGAAGGCGCGCGTGGCGCTCGCCGCGTTCGTCCTTCGACCAGTTAACGTTTTGTTACTCGACGAGGCGAGCAATCACTTGGACGGCACCGCGATCGAGGCTCTTTGTGAAGGATTACGCGGTTGGGAAGGTGCGGTGTGCGCTATTACGCACAACGCCTCATTCGCCGTCGCGCTCAATCCAACTGTCGTCGTCAGAGTCGAACATGGCTCCGCGACGTCCGCCATCCACGTCCCCGGCGCCCCCTTGGGTGTGGGCGAGTACGACACGGTGGAAAGAAAATCGATATTTACGGCAGCGACGTCGGCGCAAGCGCAACGGTTGATAACAGCCTTCGACGCATTCAGGAAAAGGTTAAGACACAACTTCGCCTTCATGAGTCGCTGAGGCAGTTGCAGGGCATGGCTCTCATGATCACCGGGGCGTGAGTGCGTCTCGCCGTAGTTTTTAGACGAATTTGTAAATCCTCATGTTGGATTCCAGCTATAATTTATCTAGTGCGAGTGGCACTCGAAAGGCATATCTACCTTATCGACCGCGCCTCGCAGAGCTAGCGCTAATTTATGGTGTTCTCGCACGAACCAGGCGCGATCGAGCGTGATTTCTAATCCACAGAGTTCATCCGTGAGCGCAAACGCCAGATCTTTAGCGAGGCGCCCATCGTCTCCCCGGCGGCCCTTAGGCGGCCGAGTCAATCGAGCAAGCGTGGTATGAATGATGTTAACATCGCTCACAAGCTGCTTCGTCGGAGATTTTGGTAAAGCATCTCGAAGTGCGGCGCGGAATTCGCTGGGCTCCCCCGACTTTGAATTCCACGTGTCCCGAGCAACTTGCCAGCCAGCCAGAACGACGCCGCCGGATGTCACCGTAACGCGCTCTAAAACAGCGTTGATTGGACAGAACTTTGTTGTGATTGAACGAATGCGCCGTTCCTCTTCAAGAGCTTCACTCGCACTCACCGCGTGCTCTTCTATATGGTGCGACGCGTGAAACATTGACGCATGGAACATCTCCTCGTTCTGTACGTACACATCCACGTCTTCCTGAAAGCCAAACTTGGCCAAATGTTTCAAGGTTCCTCGATGAAGCATCGCGCTAACGACGCCGACAGGAAACGGAATCACAATTGCCCGCACTGGCACGTCTAGGTGTAACAAATTCGGTTTTATTTTCCCGTCACCGTCTCGCGTAAACATATCGTCCACGCGCAAGCCTTGCGTCGCTCGCGCATTTACATCGAAAGCCGCTATTCCGCGCTCGCGCGCCTCTCGTCCCATATTCGCGTACGACACCGATCGCGCCCGAACAAGCTCCCACGCATCGCTCCCTTCCGTCGGCATCGACCCCACCAACCGCCTCTTGCATTTAAGAGGTAAATCGCTCCACAAATCATCTGCCCGAGCGCTCACGCTCGTCCACGGAATTGCGAGCGCCTTGTGCGACACCCGCACGATGATCACATCCACTACGCGCATCATCATGAGCATCACTACGAGCGCAATCATCAACCCGACGCATCGTCGCAGCGTCCGTCGTCGTCGTCCTGTCCATCGCGTCGCTTGTCGTCCGCTCATCGCTCGTCGCCCCGAACGCGATCGTCAGAGGGTTGCTCGGATATGTCCTCGAGCGCGCGTTTACCAAGTTGTCTCAAAGTCAAATCGCCGTCGTCCTCGGGGTCGTCGTCAATTTGGACTTCGATGTTTGGAATGACTTCCGCGCTTCCGTCGCTCCGCGCCGCCGCCCTGACTTCGATATTCAACGCGCGTTCGATCACGCTCTGCTCGTGCGCGCGAACGCCCTCGACTGATTCCGACTCAACGGACTCTCCGACGACTAAATCGTGGTGCGTTGACGCCAGAGCGCGCTGTTTACGCAAGATTTCTCTCGCCAAATCGAACTCGCGCTCGCTCACGGATTCTTCGTCGCCGAGAGAGCACGCTCGCTCACGTTCGCGTTCGTCGATCGAAACTTCGTCGCGGGGTGGATTATCCGTGGACGGCGACGAGACCGGCGTCGGCGGGCTCAGCGGCATAGAGAGGCGGCGAGTGCGAACGAAGAGACGATTTGGGTTGGCTTCGGTTCGCTACGGCTCGGATATTATACTGGACAACTCAACGGATCTAATGCTTACTTGAACCTACTGATACCGTACTAGTACCGGGAAAACGGATATTATTGCGCGCTCACGTTGCGTCGTGGTTGAGCTTGAGTCGATGGGACATCTCATCCTCGGTCCAACGCTCTCGCTCGTCGCCCTCTCCGACGTCGATGTGCAGCGGCTCGTGCGGACGGATGTCGCTCTCCGGTCCCTCACAATCCGATCCACCGCAATCTAAATCGTAGTAGCATTGACTGGGTGGACGAGGAACGAAATCGAACGATGTCGGCTCGGGAGCACACCAGGACGTTTCCGGACGGAGCGTCACAAAAGCAGCACGGTTGTTGTGCCGCTCGTCATCGACGTCGATGAACTGAGGATAATTTGGCGCACTAAAAAGGGTGCATAGCTTACCAACCTCACCGCAGTCGTGATCGACGCAAAACCCTTCCATGATTGACGGCATCTCTGGACGATCGTGCCGCGCGTCAGGCCCTTCGTGCGAACGGATTATGAGCTTCAAATTTTCACGCTCCATAAACTCACGCGTCTGCGCCGGCCCGAACTGAATGCCGATACCGCGATTGACGTTCTGACGCAAGCCATCCTCGAGGATGGGATCGCTCCACAAGACGTCGCCCGCGATCATCGATCGACCTTCGCCCATGGGGTCGGCGCCGCCCTTCGACGCCTTCTCCAAGTCGTGCAACGTCCCCAATTTGGGATTCTCCCTCGCCTCGCGTTTGGATAACGACGGGCTTCGAAACAATCCCCCGTGTAAGACTAGCGTCCGTTCGTTGAGCAAGCACGCGAGCGGCATGTGCGAGCACACCTCCAAAAACAGCGGATACAGTTTCCGCCCCATCGTGTTGCCGTACTTCACCTTGAGCTCTCGCTCAAATCCGTAGCACTCCGTGCAAAACTCCGTCTCGTGATTTCCTCGAAGCAAAATCACACGATCGGGCGACGAGACCTTGTGCGCGATCAGGGTGAAGAACAGCTCAACCCCCCACGCCCCGCGGTCCACGAAGTCCCCGTTGAAGACGTACGTCCGCGTCTCGTCCGGCTTCCCCGCAATCTCAAAAAGCTTCAGCACGTCGTGATACTGCCCGTGCGTGTCACCGACCACGATACACTCCTCCACGCCCTCCTCCATCGTCAACCGCGTCAACGTCTTCTCTCGTTTCAATACCCTCGTCGCGCACGTCATCAACCGCTCCGCCTCTCGCGCGTCCACGATTCTGCTCAACATTCGCGGTTTCCCACCGTGCGTGTTCTCCTCCATTCGCGTCGTGAGCTCATCGATCCACTCGGGCGTTATCGGCAGACGCACTTCCATGATGGACGTCGGCGTCATCTCGCGCGCGACCTCGTCTCGACCACCCTCGGCGCAACCGCCGCCGAGTCGAATCTAACCAACGTTCGGCGCGCCCGACGCCGACGCGTCCTCGATCGACGCGCGCGCGCGACAGAGAAATCCGCGCGATTTTTGTCTCCACCACCGCGCGCGACGGGCGACGGAGACGACCCGCGGCGTCGTGGAGTCCAGACGCCGCGCGCGGTGGGTTCGCCTCGCGTCATCGCCGGAACATCCTGAGATGGCCGCGCGGACGCTCGCGTGCGTCGCGATACTCGCCCTCGCGCTCGCGGTCGACGCGTCGAATATATGTGCATCCTTGGACGCGTCGTTGACGGTGGGTGATCGACGAACGAACGCCGGGTCGGCGCGTTTGCGAGTCGGTGCGTTTAACGCGAGGTGGTTATTCGATGGTGTTTCCGACGTCAGCGCGTCGCCGTACGCGAACGGCGAGGCGAACGCGGCGCGAGAGCACGGACGGATGGTGAATGAGGTTATTCGCGCGATCGACGCCGACGTCGTGGTGTTGACGGAGACGGAGACGTGCGAGACCTTGGACTGGGCGCGCGAGGGGACGCCGAACGTCGCGCGCGCGTTGGTCAAGGGAACGGACACGGCGACGCAGCAACAGATTGGGATATTGTCGAAGATATCGTTCGTGGAAGAGCCTTGGAGAAGGGAGGATCGAGCGGATTACGACGCGGCGACGTCGGCGTGCGGGTACTCGGGGAGTAAGAATAGCGGGGTGTCAAAGCACGCGGTGGCTCGATTTAAAGTGGGCGCGCGCACGGTGGCGCTCATCGGTGCGCATTTGAAGGCGAATCCGACGCAATCGAGCAGTTGTGCGCAGCGTGAAGCTCAAGCGGAAGTTCTGCGATCGATCGCGCGAGAGCGGTTCGAGGCGGGAGACGCGGTGATCGTCGCGGGTGACCTGAACGATTACAGCGATTTACACGTCGACGCCGGTAACAATTCACCGACGTCGCGCGTGTTAAGAATGCTTCGCGACTTGAATAACGACGGAGTGGACGAACTTCAGGAAGTGGGAGAACTCGTCGCGGTGAGCGATCGATACACGTGGCGATCGGGGAGTTCAAAGGCAAAACTTGACTACATCTTGGTCAGCAGGAGCGATTTCGATCTCGTCAGCGCGTCGATACAGCACGATCTCGTAAACGCGAGCGTATCCGATCATTTCCCCTTGCTCGCTATCGTCGATGTATTGACGACGAGAGACACGAGCAGATTGCTCGCATCGACGGCGAATGCGACGAGCGCGAGTGCGACTTTATACATCGCTGCGCTCACAGCAGTGCTCACAATTTATCTCGTCAAGTAGAAGCGGCGTGTTGTAGATATCTAGATAACCGCAGTAGAGCGTGATTGACTGTGTGATAGATTCGAAAAGGACCTACTGTTGTGGGCACCCGTTTGGTTCCGCGTCCGTCGGAGTGGCTCCGAGCAACGCGGCTTTGTTCGCCTGTTCGATGGGAGTCGGCTTCATCTTCTTCGCCTCAGGCGCGGCGGCCGGAGTCGCGGTTTGCTGTGGCTCCACGCGCTTGACGGGCGCCTCGCGAAGCGGGGCGACCTCGACTTTACGAACGGGAGCAGGGAGTACTCTGCGAACCGGCGCGGCCTGCACCGGGGCGCTCGTGGCGAGCGTCGGCGCGGCGAATCCAGCGCTCTCCTCCTCCGCGGATCCAGGCGGTGCGGCACCACCAATCGCCTTGAACGCCGCTCGCAGCGCCTCGCGCGTGGAGTTATCGGCGCTCACGAGCTCTTGGAGCTCGAGTTGTCGCTCCTTGAGATCGGATGCGACGCCCATAATTTCTTCCAACTCGCGGATAGAGTCCTCCGGAGTGACGACCTCGCCCGCGCGCTCGCGGGCACCCTTGCTCACGCGCGCGGTGCCAGCCTTGAGATCGGCTATTCTTGCCTCGCAAATCTCAATCGCGCGCGTGTTCGCCGCGAGAGCGTCGTCGTTCGCCTCTAACATTTGATTCGCGATGGAAATTTCGTACAGCGCGCTCGCCAGTCTCCTATCCGTCGGTTCCAGATTCGCCTCCAAAAGCGCTAGCGCCGCCTTGTAATCCGTCAGCGCCGCGTCGAACTGCGATTGCTCCATGTTCAACTCACCGATGGTCTCCATGACGTCCGCCAACTCCAACGGCGCGTCCGGACACTCGTCCTCGTACAAGACGCGCGCCGTCTCGAGCATCTTCCACGCGAGTTCCATGTCCGACTCCTCCTCCTCGTCGTCCTCGCCATCCTCCGCCGCGTCTTCACCCTCGTCATCAACATCTTTACCATCACCATCCGTCCCGTCCGCGTCCTCTTCTCTCGTCGCCTCGTCCTTCGCTCCGTCCTCCAGCTTGGTCCCGCTCGCCTCGGCGTTCGCCCGCGCGCGTTCCCCGAACACCGTGTTCGACGCCTGCGCCCCCCTGAACAACGCCTCGCCGTAGACGAAGTGCGCGTTCGCCAGCGCCGCCCGCGCGCACGCGTCACCGAGCGCGCAGTGCGCCTCCAGCGCCTCGCCCGCGAGGTCGATCGCGTCGTCCACCGACCCGTCTCGCAATCGTTCCTTCGCCCGTCGCGTCATCGCGCGCGCGTTCTCCATGCGCCTCACCCGCGCGTTGGATGAAGAAAAATACACTACACCGCGTCCCGGGCGCTCGGACGCGGGCGTCGATCGACGACGACGCGCGACGCGTCCTCGCGCGCGCGCGATGTTTAAATTTCCTCCCGCGACCGTGATATACACCAATCGACACTCGACATCGCGGACACGTACGTCGTATACGTACCATCGGTCCGAGTATATACCGACGAATGGCCCGTCGGTGCGACGGACGATTCGCGCGACGGCCGGTTCGCGACGGCCGGGCGTGGGCTCGGCACACGCGCGCGCGATGTCGACGCCGATGGTATTCGTCGCGCGCGTCGTCGCGTCCACGCCCGCGTCGACGCGTCGCGGGACGAGCGAATGGCGAATGATTCATCGCCGACGCGGTGGACGCGAACGATCGCGCGACCGCGCTTCGGGGAGCGATGGACGGCGCGGTGATGGGACGCACGCGCGCGCGTGGCGTGGCGTTCGCGACGACGGCGCCGCGAGCGCGGTGCGGTGGACGGTGGACGCGGGCGGGGGGGCGACGGGAGTGATGAGGCGCGCGGGACGCGGCGCGGGCGCGCGGCGCGGAGGACGAGGCGCGACGACGCGGGTGGCGAACGATGCGGGCGATCGATCTGGGATCGACCCGGGGGTGGATGAGGGGACGGGCGTGCCGGGGACGGCGTCGTGGTTGTTCGAGGAGGATAAGAAACGGGCGCGAAGCGGCGACGCGGAGGGCGCGCAGCGCGTGCGCGAAGGCGTGTCGACGTGGCACAAACAGGAGCGACACGCGGGGCATTACTTGTCGAAACCGTACGCTGTCTATCGCATCAACGCCACGGGTGGACGAATGCCGTATAAGCAAATATTGACGCGTCGGGAGTTGCTCAGGGATACGGATCTGTCGCCGCGAGACTTGCGTCGAATCGATCCCACGCTCGGGCAGACGAACAACACGCCCGCGGTTATCGTTCGCGAGGACTCCGTCTTGGTGAACCTCGGTGTGCGCATCATCATTTGTGCCGATCACGCCCTGATCTTGGAGCCGGACACGATGGCCTCGGTGAACTTCCTCGAGTCCTGGACGCAGCGCGTCCAGGCTGCCTCGATGCCGGGCTCAAACGCGGACGGCATGGAGGTGCTTCCGTTCGAGCTCGTCATGGTCGAAGCCGCGCTTCAGGAGACGTGCGGGCAGTTAGAGAATAGATTAGAGCACTGCACGCGCAGATACCGCTCGCTCGAGCGAAAGCTTCAAACGGGACTCGAGAGGACGACGTTTGAGGAGATGCGTTTCATGAAACAAGCCATCGTGCAGCTCGAGTCGCACGCGTCCGCGGTGCGAGACGAATTGCTCGAGACGCTCGACGACGAGGACGACGTGGAGCGCATGACGCTCTCTTCGAAAGCCACGGGCGAGGCGAAGGAGGTCGAAGTCGAGGAGGTGGAAAACCTGCTCGAGTACTACGTGCAACAGACGGAAGCCGTGCACGGCGCCACCGAGGCGCTGCTCGAGAACACGAGAGATCTCGACGAGTCCATCTCCGTGACCTTGTCGGCGCGAAGACTCGAGGTGAGTAAGATCGAACTCATGCTCTCCATCGCCAGCTTCGCCGCCGCCATCGCCGCCGTCGTCACGGGCGTATTCGGGATGAACCTCACGTCGACGTTCGAGGCGAGCGTCGTCGCCTTTTACCTCACCACCTCCCTCTTGGTCACGGGATGCGTCGGCATCTCCGCCTGGCTCTATCGTCTGTGCAGACGACGTAATATTTTATAATAACACTCTCTTTGCATTTACAAACAACCATCGACGTCGACCGTTCGCGCGACGCCCGCGTCGTCCGCCGCCGCGCCGCGCCGCCGTCACGCCGCCGCGCCCTCACCCCGCTCCGCCCCCTCGACCCGTCCCGTGCGCGTCGCCCACCTCCGCAGGCTCTCCGCCGCCACCGCGTCCCCCTCCCGCACGTCCGCGTCGCGCACGTCATCGTATCGAGGCGGCCACGGGGTGAGCGGTCCCGGATGGACCACCCGCACGACGCCGTCCACGTCTCGCTCCGTCATCCCTCGTCGCTCCATCCACGCCCGCGCGGCGCGCGAAATTCCATTCCACACCATCGCCCGTCCCATCGCCCCTCGCGCCCGTCGCCGCGCCCGCGTCGTCGCGATGTCCGCGCGCGCGCGAGTGCGACCGCGACGATATTCGACGACATTCACGCGCGCTCGACGCCGCGCGCGCGCGAGTGCGACCGCGCGGACGCGGGAAAACGATGGGCATTCGATCGCGCGACGCCGCGGCGCGCGCGAACACGGCGACGAACGAGCGCAACGCCCGGAGAGGCGTCGCGGCGATCGCGCACGCATTCGTGAAACAAAAGACGCGACGATCGAGCGGGGTGTCGGACGCCGCGGCGGCCGACGCGGCGACGACGACGGCGGCGGTGGGCGGGGAAACGCGCGATGGGGCCGTGGACGGGGGAGCGCGAGGCGGTGGGACGCGCGCGTCGACGAGCGAGCGCGTGGCGTGGCCGGATGAGGCGGCGCGGGCGGACGCGCGGCGCGCGGCGGCGCGCGGCGCGACGACGGCGGCGGTGGACGGAGAAGCGCACGCCGCGCCGGCGTCAACGACGCGTCCACCGTTGGAGACGTACGTGATGTACGTCCCGAGCGAGTCCGAGGGAGAGAGCTCGAGGGACGTGCGATCGACGTTTGAGCGACTATCGAGCGTCGGCGCGGGGGGGTACATCGACGCCTACGACAGCGACGAGGATCTCAGCGACGACTCTAACTCCGAGGATAGGCGCGCGCTCGATCGCGCGCTGGAGGATTTAGATTTCGCCCAGAGTTCGGATAATAAGTGTTGCTGCGTCGTGCAGTGACGCGGAGGGTGTAAGCGAATGATTGTTCATTTCGCGGCTCGCATGCGCGTTCGTTTCGCCTCGACGTCCACGCGCGCGCACACGAGCGCGCGAGAAGAGCGACGCTGCGACCGTCGCGCCGCGCCCGTCGCCCGCGCGTCCGCGAGTGAGACGTCGTCATCGTCATCGTCATCAGCGGAGACGGTTCGATTTGGAATCCTTCGAGGAAGCAGCGCGACGTATCGCGACGACGTCACCGAGTACGAGGACGGTGTCCTAGACGCGGTGGCGATCGAGCTCTTCAACGCCAAGCTGAACGCGGTCGTGGGGGCGCGGGAGGAGGGAGAAGACGGCGAACGCCTCCGCGGGTTCGCGCGCTTGGTGCGCCTGGCGGATAAATTATCCGACGGTCGAGGGGTCGTCGAACAGCGAGACGCGGTCACGCGAGCGCTGCTGAGCATTATACCCGCGCCCGTTCGGTGGGCGTTTAAGAGATTGATCGAACCGGCGACGTGGGTCGATGAGATGAACGCGAAGGTCACGAGAGAGGCGTTCGCGTGGTTGGTCGGACCGTGCGAGATCGTCCCGAGAGAGAGCGACGGCGCGATGGCGAGCGTGAAACTGAAAAAGTGCCGGTACTTGGAGCAGTGCGGATGCGCGGCGTCGTGCACGAACTTTTGCAAGATTCCGACGCAGAGATTTTTCAAGGAGGCGTTCGGCGTCGACGCGAGACTCGATCCCAATCACGAGGACGGAAGCTGTATGATGACTTTCGGCGTCAAGCCGGACGTCGTGGACGCCGCGTTCGCGGCACCGTGTTACGCGACGTGCGCGAAGAGCTGCGGGACGAGCGATGAGCCGTGCCATCGATTGGGGAAACAGCCCGAGTTTTAAGAAAATAGCGAGCGCCACGGTGCGACATGTAAACTTGTAACAAAGGCTGGAATTTTCAAATGAATCATTGAGAGAGAAGAATTACCACGGGATTTGCAAGCCATCCTCGCAGTTGATGAACATGCCGTTGTACTCGGGCGTCATCAGACCAATTTCGTGCATCACGCGCTTCGCCCCGACGGAGGCGTCCACGGCGCCCTCGATCTCCCAAATTTTCGCGTACTTTGCCGTCATATCCGTCTTGTTGAACCCGGGGTGAAGGACTTGCACCATGATACCCTCGTGCTTGAGCTCCTGCGCTAAGAGCTTGGCGCCCATGTTCGCCGCGGCCTTGGACATGTGGTGCCCGTAGTCACCGCCAGCCGGGTTCTGCACCTCGCGCCACGTCACGGACCCGCCTTGCGAGGTGATCATGGCGATTTTCCCGCCCTTGGGAATCTTACCCGCGTGGTACAGCGCGTTCGTGACGCGAAGCGGTCCCAAGGCGCAGATATCGATCATCTTCATCTCCTCGTCAAACTCCAAGGAACCGTCCGTGACCTTCTCCACGGGTTCGTAAAAGTACCCCGCGTTGTTGATCACGATGTCCACCGGCGAGCTCACCGCCTTGGCCATCTTCTCGCAGCAGGCGGACGAGGTCACGTCCACGCCCTCGATGATCTCCGCCGGGTTCAGCGCGCGTAATTCGTCGCTCGCGCTTCGGCACGTCGCCACGATGTTCGCCCCTCGCGCCGCGAGTTCCTCGCACAGCGCCAATCCGATCCCTCGGTTCGCCCCCGTGACCAACACGCGCGTACCCTCGAGATACGACCCATCGTACACGGCGTCGATGTCCATCACGCGCGCGTCCGCGCTCGCCTTGGCCCGCGCGAACCGTTTCACTTGATCAGCCAACGTGAAACCACTCGGCGGTTCATCGCTCGCGTACGGCGACGACGGTCCAGCGCGCGCGCGCGTCGGCATCGCGCACCCACCGCGCGCACGTCTCACCGTGCCTCCGCGTCCGCGCGCGAGCCCGAGCGCGTTGAGCGCGCGGTGCGACGCGAACGAGCGCGACATGGAATGCCGTCTCGACGCCATCGTCACTCATCGCCCGCGCCCCCGATCGATGCTGCGCGCGTTTCGCTCGCTCGACGCGCTCACGAGCGCACCCGCGCACTTGCGTCGGAAAACGTCCACGGGCGCCGTCGTGTCGCTGTGCGGGACGTTCGTGGCTGTCATCTTGACGCTCTCGCAGACGATCGACTTCTTCACCCCGCTGCGGACGAAGACGACGCGCGTGGACGAACAGCGCGCGGGAGAGATGACGATGGACATCGATGTGACGTTCACGCGCATGCCGTGTCAGATTCTGTACGTGGACGCGTACGACGCGAGTGGGAAACACGAGGTGGACGTGCGCGGACGGTTGATGAAGACGCGCCTGGACGCGGCGGGACGAGAGCTGGGAGAGTACGAGTCCGCGGGAGGGGTCGATCTGGGTGGATTAGTGTTATTTCGACGACGACCCGAGCACGGGAGCGAGGTGAGGAAGGCGAAGGCGGACATGGAGGGGTGCCGGTTGCACGGACGCGTGGAGGCGCGGCGCGTGGCGGGATCGCTGCGGATATCCACCGGACCGGAGTCGTTCGAATTCTTACGAGAGATGTTCAATGAGCCGTGGGAGATCGATGCGAGGCACGCGATTAAGACGTTCGCGTTCGGACCGGAGTTTCCGGGGTCGGTGAATCCGTTGAACGGGGTGAAGAGGAAGGAGAAGAAGAGCGGGATTTACAAGTACTTCATGAAAGTCGTGCCGACGACGTACGCCAACTCACGAAACTTGTTCGGGATGATTCCGTGGACGATGCGCGTGCGAACGAATCAGTACAGCGTCACGGAGCACTTCACCGAGAGCGCGCATTGGGGCATGCTACCGCAAATTCTCTTCAGCTACGACATATCCGCCATCTCGGTGAACGTCGAGTCGCAGTCAAAGAGCGGGGTTTACTTTCTCACGAAAACGATCGCGACGGTCGGAGGCGTGTTCGCGTTGACAAGAACCATAGATAGATACGTCGATCTCGCAGTTCGCGTGACCTCGACGCAGTAGAGAGTAGATGTTCAAAAACCAATACGGTACATTCCATGGTACATTACAACGAGTCTCTCGTAATCATGAGTTTTCGGTCCAATAAGTGCGCGTATTCGACGTTCGTCGCTTCCACTTGGAAACCTATCAATCGCGTGCAGTCGCACGACTTCAACTTGCGGAAGGCGATGCGCAGTTCTTGATCGAAATCGACCACATCGCTCGCAAAGCCGTGACACACACCCTCGCCGTTCTCGAACGAGATAAAATTGTGCGAGGCGCCAGAGTCCGCGCCACACGTAGCATCCAAATAACTCGACTTCATGATTACTCGCTCGTTAGACTCGGTGATAATCTGTGAAGGAAGCGCGTTTCCGCACGAGGCACAACGTTTGTACCTGTCGTACAATCGAGCGATAGAAATAGTTTCTTCGGATGGCGTTTCCGCTTTCAGCGGCGAAACGACATCCTGACACTTCGTTTCAGTCGTTGGCGTCGTACTCTCCATCTTACTCATCGTTCGAACCGTCTGCGTCGCTTGCATCGCTTGCTCAAGCCACACTTCCTCGTCGTCGTCATCGTCCCACTCAATTCCATCCATTATCTGGGCGCACATCGCCTCTGGAGAAATTTCTTGGATACGCTCGACGTGAGAGGGTGAACGCGCCTGAACACCCTGTACGAGTGCGTTTAGATCCTCGAGATCGATCTCAATATCTTCATCTTCTAGGATCGGTACTTTGTAGGTGTGATCGTCGTCTCCGCTTTTCATCGGAGAGGCGTCTTTCAGGATTGATGGATCACCACCGACTTCGCCGCTCGCACTCGTCTTGCTAAAAAAGTGTGTGATCGGAGTGTTTCGCATCGCTTTTCGCGGCGAATTTCCACCTATCGAGACTCTTTCTCGCTTGCCAAGCTTTGCGCGCTCACTCCTCGCCTTGGACGCTGGCTCGTCTTCTCCTGGTGGATTCTCTGCGTGGATGGCGAAAAATTGTTTCAAACTTGCCAACTGGTCCGCAAATTGTGCACCAGGATTGTGCACAATCGCTGGTCGCAACCATTTGGGCAACGAGTGGATGTTTCGTTGATTGAAGCGTTCGTCCACGAGTATGATGGCTCCGTGATCGTGACGGTGTCTCAAGCATCGACCGACAGCCTGATTGAGCGCTCGATACGCCTGCTGATCGTACCACTGCGATCCGCTCAATAAACCTTGCCCACGTCCTTCATCGTTGTAACTTCTCTTCTCCGCGACGAGTGAATCTTTGATATTTGGATATGGAATACCGACCGATATCACAGCTCGAGCGTTCGCGTCGGCGAAATCGATGCCTTCGCTGATTTTCCCTCGGCACACGGCGAATAAAATGGCGCCTCGACACGTTGCAGTCTCCGGCGCTGGTGCGTAAGGATGCTTTGCCGCGCGTACGCTCTTCGCTATCGCGTCGTAATACTTCACCATAATCTGTTCCAGAGTGAGCGGTTTTTTCCCATAGTTGTGTGATGACTTGCTCGGCTCCTGAAACATCCGTTTGCCGCTCGCTTTCTCGATGGTCTGCCACATCCCGGTCTCGCGCCAACGACGAATTATATTATCCATCAAGCTGTAAGAAGGGAAGAACATCAGCATGCCGTGAGGTGTGACCTGAGCCCACTCTTTCAAGCTCGTGCCAAGCTCATCTTGGAATCCGTAATCACTTCGAGACTTGAATCCGGCGTTCATAGGAACATTGTTTGGACCGATGCCGACGACACTTCCATACACCTGACGTTTCATGTCGATGCAGTGTTGCGCTTCAAGTCGGATCGGAAATTCAACACCGAGCTCACTCGCAAAAGAGTTCAATGGTGCGAGAGTTCCAGAAGTTAAAATGACAGAGCGCGCACCGTCCTCGCCGACGAGATCTCTGAACGCCAGCGCGGGATTCAACGCCCAAAAATTTATCTTAACGACCTCATCGATCGGTAACCTCTTCAGTTGAGAACTCTTATGCTGCGTTGTCGCAACTCGTTCGGGATCGATTGTTTTCGTAAAGACAATTCTGTAATCACGTGCAGTGGCTTCACCCTTTGAAAGTAAAAATCTAATCGGGTTCAACACTTTTTCGCAAGTGGCAAATACGCCTCCCGGCACGCGCTCCTTTGGATCTTTATTTTCCTGGTTATGCTTGGTGACCGTTACGAGCGCTTCCATGACGACTGAGACACTACTGCGAGTAAGTCCGATGTTTTCCAGAGCCTGAAGACTCTGTTCACCGCGAATCGTCGCCGAACACGTTTCAAACGCTTGTGGATTCTGCTGCAAGCCGTAGCAGTCACTCGAATCATCGCAGAAACGTAAAAACCACTCGTAAAGCCCGTTCATCGTCTTCATCAACAGCTCTGTCTCGATTAAGTTCACCGTGGCTCGTCGTCGCACCTCTTTCAGACGTTCGACAGTGTAAGCGATTTCTTCGAGCCAAGTTTCCTCGCTCGCCGCCTCACGCGCGGTGTCCTCGATGTTGTGCGCCTCGTCAAAGATTATGAGCGACCCTTCGATGTCAATGTCCATTGCTGCGCGCGTCCTCGGATCTAATATGTAGTTGTATGGACAGAATACCAGCTCGGCCGATTCTGCCATGATTTTCGACGCGAAATACGGGCAGCCCTTCTTCATCCTCCCGAGCGTCACCAAGTCCTCTATGTCGAGCGGATCCACTTGATTCTTTGCGTGCTCCGCCAACATGCTCGCTGCCTTCCCCGCGTGATAGCACCCCCGTCCCTCCGCGCTCACGTCCATGAGTTTGCGGCACTCCTCGTTCACGTTTCCGCTCTTCTTCGCGCTCTTATTCACGCAGTAATGCTCGCGAGACGCCAAGACGACCGTCCGCGCGCTCTTGTACGACGTTCTCGCCAACTCACCCACAACCTGCGCGATCTGTGAGTGCGTCCGCGTGGCGTAGAAAACTTTAGGCGTCAGTGTTTTCTGTCGTCCCCTACCGTTTCTCCCTCCTCTGTTCTCCTCCGCCATCTCTCCGGACCCGGCTCCGCGCTCCGCGCCCGATGTACCCCATCCCTCGTCCTCGCCCGAGGCCATCTTTTCGCACCACGCCAGCGCCGAGCACAGCAACGCGAGCGACTTCCCGCTCCCCGTGGGCGACTCCACCAGCGCGCACTGTTTCGACGTCACCGCTCGGATCACCTGCGACATCACCGCGATCTGCGACGCGTACGGGACGAGCGGGAAGCGAATCTCCACGCCGTTGATCATTCGTCTCCACGTGGATCCGGGCGTGGATTGCGTCGACGGCGACGCGCGCGCGGCGACGGAGCGTCGTCGAGCGTTCACGCGCGCGTCGTCGTCGTCATCGTTCGCTCGGGCGTCCATGACGCGCGATGGGCGACGCGTGAACGCGCGCGCGCGAACGCGAGCGAATGGCGCGCGCGGATCGTGCGAGGTGCCTGGTTTACTGGAGCGGAACGACGCGGCGAAGGCGAGCGGACGCGCGACCGGGCGTCGCGCGCGGTGCGAGGCGAACGAACGTCAGTGGAGGAGAATACAGGGAAGAATTACACGCGGGAGATTGGCGATCACCGGGCGACGACGTCGGGGACGCGTTCGGCGTTCGCGTCGGCGAACGCGTGGGCGTCTTCGTTCGTCTCCATATCGGCGATGGCGATCCCCAAATCGCGCTCGATAACCGCGCACAACGGCGTGAGAGGGAGCGTGGCGAACGGTTCTTCGATTTGGATCCCGATCTCGTCGATGCCGAGGATGAGATAGGCGAGGGTGAAGATGCACGGGACGCTCATCCAACCCATCGTCGGGACGATGACGAACGGGAGCGTCAGGAGCCAAATCACGAGAGACCGCGCGGTGTGCCGCGTGAAACTCAGCGGAATAGGCGTGGCGATGATGCGCTCGCAAATGCCTCCGCTAAGACCGATGTTGCTCACGCTCTCTTCGATGTTCCAGTGTATGTCGCTCGGAAGCCCCTTTGCGAGCGAAGCCTTGAGCGTCTTCGAGATGAGCAAGAGCGTGTACAGACATCTATTCCCGGTCGACACGGATTCGAGCACTTTCTCGGCGAGCGCGGGTTCGGTAATACACCGACGCACGGCCTCGTCCGGGATGTCTTTGAACGCGGTGGGATCGGTCGGGTCCGAACGCGTACGACCGCTGCGCAGGCGAGCCTTGAGAACGTACGCGTACGCGGTGACCAACTCAAGCAACCTTCGACGAAGTCTCTTATCCGGAATGTACATGGACAGTCTCGCGACGTCGCGACAGTGTCTGATGAGCGCGCCCCACGCGGTGCGCCCCTCGACAAAACGAGCGTAGCTCGAGTTGGTGCGGAAAACCAGCACCAAGCCGCACAACGTGCCGAGCAGTGAGTGCGCCGAGGCCGGTAGCACCAACTGCGCCATGGAAAACGCCGGGAACGGTAAGGCTATTTGCATTTTCGCCGCCGCGAGCGCCACCACGGTCGGAAGCGCGACGATGCACGCGGTGTACGCCGCCAACGCCGTGCACGGCTTGAGCAAGCGCGAGAACACCGTGCTCTGCGGAATCGTCAGGAACTCGACGATGAACCTATCCACCATGCGATGTCGCTCCCACTTATCCTGATCCATCAACTGTGAGATCGAGGTCCCCGAGGAGATGAGCGTCTGATTTAAACCCGGATCACGACTGAGCAAGAGCTCTCGCACCGTCGCTTTTTTCTCCGCCTCTGTCTCCGCCCGCCTGCGAAACTGAAACTCCCCGCGCCACCCCTCCGTGCCCCCGCTCCCAGCCTCCTGGTCCACGTCGTCTTCATCTTGGTCGTCCTCGGAGATCTTTCCGAGCGCGCGCGCGCGTCCGCGTCGACCATCGCGCGCGGCGTCGAAAGAGAAACGACGCGAGACGCCCCCCTCGGGTGTTTTCACTCGACGCGACGCGACGACGACGACGCGTGGACGCGACGACGACGCGGGCGCGCGGGCGGATCTCACGACGGGGTTCACGATCGATCGCGCCTCAGCGCGCATCGCGCCGCGCCTCGAGTCGGCGAGCGCGGGAGTGGGGTGGACGACGGGTCGCGGTTGGTTACACCTCACGCCGACGCGGGCTTGGAGGCGCGGACGTAAAACGTGCGAGGCACGACGTCGGCGCGAAACGATCGGGCGTCCGTGGGGACGGGCGATGGTTTAGAACCCGTCCATCGACCGAAATCACATCCCGCTTCGCCGAGCTGCGCCGCGAGGTCGAGCGTCCAAGGCGCGAAATACTCGACCGGAGGCGCGTCGCACGCGGACATCCACATCGCTCGCGCGGATTTTTGTTCACCGCGTCCGAAGCACCGAGCGAGCTTGGCGCGTAAGGGATCGCTGCCGCGCGCGCGCGCTAAAGCGGCGGGATTGACCACGGACACGACCAGCGCGCTGGAGTGCCCTCCCATGTCGAAGCATCGACGGAGCATCGAGCGCGCGACGCGCGGCGAGAGGTAGTACATGAGCCCCTCCAAAATCCATACGGTGGGTAAACCCTCTCTGAATCCGCTCCCTCGAAGCGCTTCGGTCCAATCGGTGCGTTCCATGTCGCAGTGCACGGCGACGCGTCTGTCGCACAGCGTCAACTCCGCGTCGCCCATTATTTCTCTCTTGCGCTCGAGCACGCTCTCGACGTCCACCTCGAACACCGTCGTGTTCGTCCTCGCCTCCGCGCTCGGCGCCTCCAGTCGCCACGCTCGCGTGTCGTACCCGGCACCGAGTAAAACCACCTGCCGCGCCGCCTCACCCCCACGCGCTCGATCGATCGTCGCTAAGTATTCCACCGCGGCGTCGTCGAAGAACTTTGTCCGGATGGCGACGCGTCCGTCGTCGCCTCGTCCTCCCCTCGCCCTCGACCTCGCCCCCGTCCGTCCCGCCGTCGACGTCGACGGATTATCATCACCATCCCCCGGCGCGCGCGACCGTCGCTCGCGCACGCGCGTCATCGCGTCCGTCCCAGCGAGCGCTTCGGCGAATGGGTCTCGAATCAATCCATTCGCCCCTCGCGCGTGTTCGAGCGCTCGCAGCGCCGCGATCGACGACGCGGTGTCGCGCACGCGCTCGGGCACCGCGGACGCGGACGAGGGCGCCATCACGCGCGCGCGCGCGTCGCGCGGTGGTGCCATCGGGTGCGAATGTCTCGACACAGACCGACGCGTGGTCGTTACGCGGGCGACGACGGGCGTCGGTCGAGGGCGATCGGGGCCGCCGACGACGCCGACGATGATGCCGACGCCGCCGACGCGGCTCGCGGCGCGGCTCGCGCGCGGGGTGGACGTCGGCGGCGTGGGACGCGCGCGCGGTGGACTCGTCGTCGGTCATCCAGTTTCGAGCGCGACGCGCGCGTCCGCGCGGTCGAGATCGAGGCGCGGGGGGGCGAGTGACGACGCCGAGAGCGCCGCGTCGTCGTCGGGACGATCGGGGGCGGCGCTCGCGGTGGGAGATGTCGCAAAGTTGGCGGCGCTGCGCGGGACGCTTCGACGGGCGTCGAGCGACGCGGAGACGGAGACGCCGACGACGCGCGCGACGCCGACGACGCGCGGCGGTGATGATGATTCGATCGCGACATCACGGAGAGGGTGCGCGACGCGCGTGCGCGCGACCAAGGCTGGACGCAAGGGGAAGACGGCGACGCTCGCGGGACCGGTTTTGGGAACCGACGCGAGCGCGATGGTGAAGGAGCTCAAGCGCGCGCTCGGCGTCGGCGGCGCCGTCGAGGCGAACGACGCACCTATGATGAAGACCATCGCACTTCAGGGCGACGTCGTGGACGAGGTTGTGACATTTTTACGCCACCGCGGGTACGTCGCCGCCGCCCGCGGGTGAGCGCTCATCCGTCTCGTCCGCGTCCTAGCTCGTCCGTGGAACGAACTCAGACCTCGCGCGCGACGGCATCGCGTCCCATCGTCGTCTCTCTGTCTCCCGTCCCGTCGTCGTCTCGTCGACGCGCCCTGGACGTGCGGTGCGATCGCGTCGGCGGCGCGGCGCCTCGACGGGGTGCCAACTTTCACCCCGAGTTAATGCGGCCCGCGGCGCCCTGCGATGCCGCACTCCGCGCCCTCGACCATGGCTCGGACGAAGCAAACGGCGCGTAAGAGCACCGGCGGGAAGGCGCCGCGAAAGCAGCTCGCCACCAAGGCGGCGCGTAAATCTGCGCCCACCACCGGCGGTGCGTCCCTCGACCGAACGCGTCGTCGCGACGCGTGGGAGAGATCTCGAATCGTCCCGTGGGTGCCGCGCGTGACGTGAATCGCGACACTGACGGATGATTCGTCCCCCGTGCAGGCGTGAAGAAGCCGCACCGATACCGCCCGGGTACGGTCGCACTGCGTGAAATCAGGTGCGTCGATGATCGATCGTTTCGACGCGACGTCGGCGTCGCGCGCGCGTACGGGGGGATAATTCGTCTCGGACGCGCATCGGCACGCCAACCCTAAGTACTCTGGCTGGAGAAGAGTTGACTGACGCGCCGACGCTTCGTCGCGATCGATGAACGCGCAGAAAGTACCAAAAGTCCACGGAACTGTTGATTCGCAAGCTTCCGTTCCAACGTCTCGTGCGAGAAATCGCGCAGGACTTCAAGACGGACCTGCGGTTCCAATCCACCGCGGTGCTCGCGCTGCAAGAGGCGTCCGAGGCGTACCTCGTCGGTTTGTTCGAAGACACCAACTTGTGCGCGATCCACGCGAAGCGAGTGACCATCATGCCGAAGGACATTCAGCTCGCTCGACGCATCCGCGGCGAGCGTGCTTAAGCGTGACGAGATGAAACACGTACTGTTTTTCACACGTTCCCACCGGCGAGTCGGACCGCCACGCGATCGAAGTCTGAAAATGAACGACGTTCGCGCACCAGCGCGTCTCGACCAAGCCGAGTCATGATGTACGCATCACGTGATTTGTTACCCATCTTGTAAAACGAAAATTCGAATAAATGAGCTCAATTACTAATTACTAATTACTCGGTACTGAAAGTCGCTCCGAGCTTTGTGAGCCGAATGTACGCGTCGACAAAGTCTTCAAAGAAGGCTTCCTGATCCTCTGCGTACTTCTTAATCCAAAGCATGCTCTCCGCATCTTCTCGCATGTACTTGTCACTGGGTAAACCGATGTGTTCGGCCATAGATGCCTCGTCCTTGGTCATGTTTGGTTTATGCCACGGATCGGCGACGAGCGTGACGTAGTAGGCGTTATCGAACGTGTACATGTCACCGAATCCCTTTCCCCCTATCGTGTGAGCGCCCGCGAGCGCGACCATATCGCGTGTATCTATACCACTCCTCGCGAAGTGCTCGCGCATGTCCTTTCCGCTCAGAGTCTGCTCTGGCATTCTATTCTCTGGATCGGCCGACGTCGCGTCGACGCGACCGATCGGGACGCGCTCCAAAAACGAAGGTCCACCGGTGATCTCCACCGCGTACGCCCCAGCGCACGCGATCATGTCCGAGAAAGATACCTTACCCTCCGCTGCGGTACCTTGCAGACCGTCGTACGCGTTCTTCACCGGAGTGAGCCCTCGCTTCAGGCCGAAAGACTCTGGTCGGCTGAGCTCGTATCGCACGCTCCCGTTCATCCCTCCATCCTTCTCGCTCGCCGAGTGCGTCCCGGCGTCGTGGAAAACCAACCGTAACACCGCTGGGCACTTCGACGTCGGCACTTCCCTCTCCAGCGACGCTCGAATCGCTCGTCGAATCGCTCCCTCGTCCGCCCTGCGCGTTCGGACGTCGCGCGCGGTCAGTTCTCTCGACGCTCTCGGACGTCGTGTACGCTCTCGAACGCTCGCACGACGCGGTCGACGCGCGCCAGTGTGTGACGCCCGATCGCATCCCGTTCGCGATCGCGTCTCGATCGATCGCACCTCTCGAGCGCGAGCGCGACGTCGGGACGAACGATCGTTCGCGCGAACGCGCACGCGAGGGCGACCGAGGCGACGTCACGTCTGGTGAGCACGGGCGCGCGATCGACCTTCGAGCGCGTCGTCGACGAGGACGACGGTCGGGGAGACCTCGAGGTCGGTGCGGACGCGGACGCGCGCGCGGTGGCGGGCATCGCGTCGAGGGCGAGAGACGCGCTGTGAGGCGGGCGCGAGGCGCGCGCGAAGACGCGGGAGAGACGACGCGGGGAGACATTTCGAGGGATTCGTGCTCGGAGCGAACGTCCATGGCGTCGCAGATGGGGAAACCGATGATTGGAGTTCTCGAGCGAGGCTTTGACGGTGAATCGATGGCGAAGGAAACGACGTTCGAACACGAGGGAGCGGCGGAGACGCTCGGTGAGCCGATAGAAGCGCGGGATCGACGACGTCGCGAGACGACGGAAGATACAGCGCGAGCGGTGAGTAAATCCATCGTGGAAGAGGATGTCAACGGCAATCACATGGATGTTTCGGAGGATCTCGACTCGGCGCACGATCAGCCGAGCGTGCACTACTCGCGCATGGTTTTTCCTTCCGTCGCTCGCGTCACGGACATCGTGCGCATACCCGCGCGGCTTTTCGTGACGATTTTGGCGTTGGTGTACATCCCCATCGTCATCCACACTCAAGTCGTTCTTACCGTGCTCAGCTTTTGGGCGATATCCATCGCGAAATCTACCATGATGTGGGTGCGACCTCTGCTCTCGACATCGATGTCGAAATCGACGGGATGGGAGGCGTTGTACGACCACGTCGCCCACGAAGTCGATGATTTCTCCGAACGAACAATGTTTCTTTTCCCTGGCACACCGAAGACGAACCACGACTCAAAGAAATCGGACTCAATGAGACCTCGGTGAGATGCCAGAGCTGAACGAGAATGAGATGGACGCGCGCTCGACTGATTTTACTAGTCTAGAGTCAAAACTACACGTCGCGCACGGATCCTCGTGCGCGCGCGACCTAAAACTTTATCGGTTTCAGCGGTAGCGCCCGCGTTCCCGACAAATCTAACTTTGCGTCCAGCTCCTCGTCCACCGGTCCCACGAGCGCTCTGTTTCGTACGGGCGACGCGCGCGCGACAGTCAGTCTCTCGCCCATCCCGTTCGACGTCGCGTCGCATCGATCGCGTCGTCGCCCACGCACACGTTATCGCCTCGAATCATGTACACGCCCAGCGGGGCTTCCTCCACCCCCGACTCGCTCGAGTACACGCGCTCGGCGCAATCCTCCAGGATGACATTCGTCACTTGGTCGAATCCCCGGAGCGTTCCCACGACGTGTCGACCGTCGTTCGTGAGCACGTGCACGCGCGCGTGCACCATGGGCCCCAGCGCCCCCCCGTTCGCGCTCATCACGCGACGCGCGCGACGCACCGTCGCCCAAGCCGAGGCCGCCGCGTCGATCGCGCGCGTCGATGCGCGTGTGACAATGGTATGCACAATGGTATGTATGCGTCGTAGTACGTACCACGTGTCCGAGAATCTCTTCCCCGCGGCACCCCCACCCGCCCCGATCGCGCGCGCCGCACTCGTCGGTGGACCGGCGACGTCGTCGCGCTCGACCGCGGCGCGCGCGCGGTCCGGCTCGCGCGTGAACGCACCGAGCGCGGGCGTGTTTTTTCTCGTCGCTCCATCGCGCGCGCGGCGTCGCGACGCTCGATCGCGCGCGTCGAGCGGTCGAAAGCCGCGACCGCGACATCGTCCGCGTCGGGCGCCGGCGCCGAACGGGTGGATCGTGGAATCATCTGTGATTCAGCGCCGCGTACGAGGCGCGCGGGGGTGGACGTGCGAGCGGGAGGGGTTGAAAGAATCCTCGGCATTGATCGAGCGCGTCTCGTGCGCGTTCGAGCGAGCGCGCGCGCGTCGGGGGTGGGATCGAGATCGGGCACGGAGGGGTGACGCTTTCTTGAGTCTTGACTCAAGGCTTTGACCAGCCGAAACCTCGGGCTCGTGTCGCGAGAATCTTTTCGTCATCAGGACAACTCTCATTCGAATTCGGCGTCGACGGGGTGCGGCGACCGCGAAGTATCAGTGCTAGAGATCGATGTGTCACTAGCCGAGCGTCGATCGAAGATACGGAACGGAAGGCAAAGAAGTTGAAATCCAGGGAGAATTCTTGACGTCGAGACTCTTTCAACACCATGGCGACGGCGGCGAACGGATCGCATCCGCAGGCGGCGATGCGAGACGAAGAGATGCAGACGAGTGATGATGCAGTGATTCAGTCGGATCCATCGACGATGACGAACGGTAAGATCGCAAACTCGGGTCCGCCGTCTCCCACGGAGCGTGAGGTGGCGCCCGCTTCGCGAGTCAGCGCGGAGGAGCAAGCGGTGGAGGATTTGGTCGACGAGGAAGAGACGGAGACGACTAAATTCGTGGAGTGGGATCCGACGGGTCGCTTTGGACGCACCACGGAACTTCTCGGAAGAGGGACGTACAAGAATGTGTACAAGGCTTTCGACGAAGAGGAAGGAATGGACGTCGCGTGGAATCAAGTCAAAGTTCACGGCTTACCGGCTGCTGAAAAGCAGCGCTTGCTGGGCGAGGTTGAAATTTTGAAGAGACTTGATCATAAAAACGTCTTGAAGTTCTATCACTCGTGGAACACCGTCAATGAGAAGACGGGCGAAGTGAGCGTGAACTTTATCACCGAGGCGTGCGCCGGGACGTTGAACAAGTACGCAGCAAGGTTCAAAAACAACTTGGATATGCGCGCTGTGAAGAGTTGGGCGCGTCAAATTTTGCGCGGTCTGGAGTACTTGCACTCTCACGAGCCACCGATAGTCCATCGCGACCTTAAGTGTGACAATATCTTTGTCAACGGCAACGCCGGTGAGATCAAGATTGGCGATTTGGGCCTTGCAGCCATGTTGGATCATCAGCGCACACACAGCGTTATCGGCACGCCTGAGTTCATGGCGCCCGAGTTATACGAAGAAGACTACGACGAACGCGTGGACATTTACTCGTTCGGAATGTGCCTCATGGAGCTCGTCACTTTTGAGTGTCCCTACAATGAGTGCAAAAATCCGGCTCAAATTTACAAGCGCGTGTCTAGCGGTGTCCTGCCGGCGGCGATGGAAAAGGTCAAGGAGAAAGGCGATGACATTTACGAATTCATTTCCCTCGCAATCGCTCCTGCCGATGAGCGGCCGTCAGCGGCGCAGCTTCTGGAGCACGCGTGGTTGAAGAAGAAGGAGAAGAAAACCATGGTGCCGCGTCAAGTGGTCGAGGAAGAACCCGAGGTACCGAGACCGATTGTGCATGAAGTTGATGAGGAAGAACCAACTGTGCATGCGAGCGTCGACGATCTTCGTCGGGTGCCGCGTGTGCCTTCGGAATCAGAAACCGAATTCGCGAGAGAGCACAAGCGAGGCGCTTCTCTAGACGTGAGAGTCAAGGGCACATTTTTGGAGGATGACTCGCTTCGACTGCGGCTGAGAATTGCCGATGACGCCGGTCAGAACCGAACTGTGGAGTTCCCTTTCAATACTGGGATAGATAACTCCCGTTCGGTGGCAGCAGAGATGGTGCAAGAACTCGGATTGGACAATTCCGCCATTGACACAATCGAGAGAGAGATTGAGAAAGAAGTCAAGTATCTGTGGGAAGAGCGGCGGGGTTACTGCGAGCGCGATACGAGCCACGATCCGATCAGATGGGACAGCGTCGATGGTAGCGGTGCGTCCAGTCCTGAAGAGAAAACTGCGCGACAAGAAGTCATCAGAGCGGTTGCCGCTGAAGGAATGAAGCCGTCGGCATCAAACGAGTCGCTCTCTGAACGAGTCTTAGTGGACGACCACGCGCTTCCGTCTCAAATCTCTCCGATCGCAACGATGATAGCGCGCGAGGAGCTCGCACGAGATCTTGTGCGACCAAAAAGTGCTCTCGATGCTTTTATTTCGAAGCAAGATGCCCCTGCTGCGCGCTTGAGCAGAGCAGGTTCGGGCGACGTTTCGCCGACGCGGCCTTCACCCATGCAGTCTCCTTCTCAGCCCACGCCCGCCCCGTCGGCGGCGGAAATGTCGAGGACGCTAGAGCAACTTGAAGCGGCGAAGCCACCGCGAGCACCGGTCTCGAATGCTCAGCCGATGCACTCTGAGATTCTGGCGACCGAACTGCGACACTTGGCGTTGCAGGACGAAATGTCAGAAAGTGCTCATTACGGAGATAAGAGTTCTGATGCCGGTTCGTTTGTGAATGAGGAAGAAATGGAAGAAATGGAAGAACTCCGCATGTTAGAAGAGCTTGAACAGCAACAGCAAATAGAGGAGGCTGAAATGAGGCAACGACACAAGAGTGAGCGTCAACAAACGCTGCGCTCGCTGCACACCAAACGCCTTGAGCGAACAGCGAGCCGTATGGCATTACTCAACAACTCCGAGAATGGATCTGAATCCGGCCGCGCGGAAGAGCAGACTGGCCGCGAAGTCCCTGTCGCACCACCGGCCGCACCAACGCTGGCCCAGACGCATCCGACGACGAGATTGAGTCAGACGAACTTGCAGATCTCAAGTCACACAGGCTTGCCTCCGCAGCACCCGCATCCGCCGCCACAGGCTGCAGCTCAGCCCGTTCACCTGCCGCCGGCTCAGCAGTCGTCTCAGCAACATCATGCTGCACAAGTTCAGCAACCTGTTAACGCAACGACGAATGCGGTTGAACAAGTGCAAGCTGCTGCTGTGCCCACTCCCCCGGCGCAAGTGGCTCAACTGCAATCAGAGGCTGGAACGCTCAGCAGAACGACATCACAGGGCTCTATGCCAAGTGAACCAAGTGATCCAAAGATGACTGGCGAATCGGAACTCACTGAGGAGGAGAGATGTAAGCTAGAGAAGGAAAAGAAACGCAAGGAAGCCTTGGCAAAGATGCAGATGATGGAAGAGAGTTCCTTGCTGTCGCTCGACAGTAAGACCAAGGGGGCAAAAGGTTCGGCCATGAGTCTAAGCGCTGCCTTGAAGAAGGACTCCTCCGACGAGCTTCAGCTTCAAGCAGAAGTGCAATAGTATCCTGTGCATTGAATTTAGAATTTAGCAGCAGCAATGTTTGTCTGTTTGTCATGAAAACAACTCTCAAGCAAACCGCCACGCTCTCGCAAGAAATGATGCGCTAAAACAAATAATGATGCTCTCACAATTACAATGCTTTTAAGCGCGGCTTCGTGCTCTCATGACTTTTATCCGACGGAACCTTCGAGCTTGAGACTCATAAGTTGGTTCACTTCCGCGGCGAACTCTAAAGGAAGCTCGTTGAACACCTCGCTGCAGAAACCCGAGATGATGACGCCGACAGCTTCCTCCGGATCGATACCACGCTGTTGGAAGTAGAATAACTGGTCTTCACCAATCTTCGACGTCGAAGCTTCGTGTTCTACCCGAGCGCTCGGTTCCTTGACTTGAATGTACGGATAAGTGTTCGCACCAGCCTTGTCGCCGATGAGCATCGAGTCGCACTGAGAATAGTTGCGTGCACCCACGGCGTTCGGACCGACTTGCACCAAACCTCTGTACACGTTCTTACTCTTCCCGGCGCTGATACCCTTGCTGACAATGCGACTACGAGTGTTTTTGCCAATGTGAATCATTTTAGTACCAGTGTCCGCTTGTTGCGCGTTGTTCGTCAGAGCGACAGAGAAAAATTCACCGATTGAGTTATCGCCGGCGAGCACAACAGATGGGTATTTCCACGTGATGGACGATCCCGTTTCGACTTGGGTCCACGAAATCTTGGAATTGTCGCCCTTGCACAAACCTCGCTTGGTGACAAAGTTGTAGATGCCACCCTTACCATTCTCATCTCCAGCGTACCAGTTCTGCACCGTCGAGTACTTGACCTCAGCATTCTTTCCGGCACTGATTTCAACGACGGCAGCGTGCAGCTGATTATCGTCGTAAGCCGGGGCGGTGCAACCTTCCAAATAACTGACGTAAGAATCGTCCTCGGCTACGATTAAGGTGCGCTCAAACTGTCCTGCAGATTCGGCGTTGATGCGGAAGTAGGTCGACAGCTCCATTGGCGACACGACTCCCTTGGGGATGTACACGAAAGACCCATCGCTGAAAACCGCGCTGTTGAGCGCTGTGAAGTAATTGTCTGCAACTGGAACCACCGATCCGAGGTGTTTCTTGACCAGTTCCGGATAGTCGTGAACAGCCTCAGAGATAGAGCAAAAAATTACACCTGCCTTGAGCAAATCCTCCTTGAACGTCGTCCCGATGGACACCGAATCGAAGACGGCGTCGACGGCAACGTTGGTCAGACGCTTCTGTTCATTTAGAGGGATTCCGAGCTTGTCGAAAGTGGCCAATAATTCTGGATCGACCTCGTCGAGGCTCTTTTTCTTTTCCATTGACTTTGGCGCGCTGTAGTAGGATACGCCCTGGTAGTCGATTTGCGGATAGCTGTTATCGCTCCAGTCCGGTTCCTCCATCGTCAGCCACTTCCTGAACGCTTTCAATCTGAAGTCGAGCATCCAATCCGGTTCGTTCTTTTTCGCCGAGATCATGCGCACGACGTCCTCGCTCAATCCAGCTGGAATGGTCTCCGTCTCGATCGTCGTGCTGAACCCCCACTTGTAGGGCTTGTTGAGCATCTCCTGAATGCGGTCGACCTCCTCCTCCTTGGCGCTCACCGGAGAGATTTGCACCGTTCCCGTGCCCTCACTCGCGGTCTCCGAGTCACCGGCGTTCGCGGAGGCGTCGCATCTCGGTGAAAACCTCTCGCGAGCGTGCCCACGATGAGCCGTCGCTGAGAACTTCTTCGTGCGCGCTCGACGATCGAGCGCTCGAGCGTGTCTGGGACGTTCGATCGCTCGCGCGGACGTCGTCGCGACGTGCGCCATCGTTCGAGTTCGAGGCCACGGAGACGCGTCGACGACGAGTGACGACGGCGCGGTGTCTCGGGCCCCTTCTATCTGGAGTCCCACTCGGCGAGTTGTGACTCGTGTGTTCGGAAGACTGATGATGTCACCGCCTCAAACGCCGCGGGCGAGGAACGCGCGAGGACGCGCGGCGACGAAGCCCGCGGATGCGGTGTCTACAACGAAACATTCTTTATTATTCGCGATTTTCTTCGTTCGCGGAGGACGCGTTCGCGGTGCGCTCGGCCACGATGGCTCGGCCGCGCGCTTCCAAGCGCTCGCGCTTCGCCTTGGCGTCGTCATCCTCCTCCCGTTGGGAGTTTTCGGATTTCTGAACCTTGGCGCGAACGGCAGCTAGGGCTGCGGCGCTCGCTGACGTTTGTGCGACGTGCTGTTCGTTCGATGCCGCGGCGGTGGCGCGCGCTTCCATGGCTCGTCGTCGTCGTTCTTGTAACGCGCGCGCGGCGGCTCCCACGGGAGCGGAGACGCGAGCGATGACGGGTCTCGCCGCGGGTGGAAACAGAGCGGCAAAGGCGAAGTCTGCGCTGCTATCTCCGCGCTGACCCGTTCCGTGAGGCTGGAAGAATCTCAAGTACACCCAAGCCGAGTACGCACCCCAGATATCGAAGAGATACAGCCCGATGTGATGGTGTCGCCCACCACTCATGAAGGCGTACATCGCCGTTCCGCATAGGTAGTAACCGATGAGTTGTTTGTTGCGAAGCGACCGCAGAGACGCGCAGTCGTCCCCGCCAAAGTTCTCATCGTCGAATACCGGTTCCTCTGGCGACGTTTGACGAAGCGCGAGGAGCATCGCGGCCAGGACACCGTGAAAACCGGAGAAGCGCGCGAAGAGATAAAACTCGTCAAAGCCGCTGAAGACGTACAGCGCGCACATCGAGAGCCAACTCAGAGTCGCCGTGGCGACGTTCACGACGACGACGAATCGCGCGAGCTCTCGCGCGCCCCACACCGGCTCCAGAATATTCCCAATGTACAGCAATCCGCAGCAATCCACGACGCACCCCGCGATCGTGAGCTCGTAGTACCCGCTCGTCGCGAGCGTCCACGGGCGCGACATCGCCTTGAACGGCGTGAGCGCCGCGAACTCATCCAACGCCTTTCCGAACACGACCGTTCTCGCGACGCATCCCCCGATCAGCACCCCACACGTCATTCTCGTGAACGCGCACGACGTCTTCGCGCTTCGCCACAGATTCCCTCGCACCGTTCGCCCTGCGTTCGCACCGTGTCGTCAGTCCCACGCATTCGCACGCGCATTCAAAATCATTCACGCACCCACCGCCTTGGCGACGACGACAAAGGTCCCGTCGTCGGCATCTTCCGACGTGCTCGCATCCGGTCGTCCGCGCTCGACGTCCGCGGACGCCATCGCGCGCGCGCGTCCGAAGTCCTCGGCGTCGGCGCGTCGCGGCGTCGGTGTCGCACACACACACGCGCGGCGCCGACGAACCGAGGGCACCGCGCGCGCGCGTCGTCGCCCTTACACGACGCGCGCGCGCGACGTCGAGGACGACGCGCGCGAAGAAGAGGGCGTTCGACACCGCGCGCGCGACATGCACGCGGGGCGAGACGACGACGCGCTCGAGGCGGTGGCGCGATGCGCGCGAACGGGCATCTGTCCGAGGGCGTGGCGAGACGATGATTCGCACGGGTTCGCGCGCGACGTGGCGACGGTGATGCGAACGAAGATGCTCGCGTTCGGGGATGCGTACTTCGGCGCGCGACGAGAGCGCGGGGGGAGGGCGAGGGAGGACGGCGCGAATGGGGCGCGGGACGCGGCGGCGGAGGACGACGGAGCGGAGGGACGAATGACGGCGGGCGCGGACGAGGGCACGTCCGAGGGACAGACGCGGGAGGGGAGCACACCGATAAAGCGCCGGAAAACGACGGGCGAGAGCGAGGTGACGGCACCGCTGGACGAGGACGACGAAGGGGAAATTGCGAGCGCGTCGACGTCGGAGGCGATGCGGCGAGCGTACGAGCAAGACGTGGAGAGAATAGCGTCGACGTGCGTCGCAGCGCACGATGGGGACGCGCCGTTCACGATTCAACGAATTTGCGAACTCGCGTGCGACCCGGAGAGATATTACACGACGCCGTACAAGTTGGCGACGGCGATGTTGAAGCTCTTCGCGGTGACGCAGACGGTGGATCGCCCGGGCGGAGTCAGCGTACCGGTCGCATCGAACGATGAAAAGGTCATCGTCGAGAAAAAGACGAAAGCCATGGAGAGAGACGCCCGGGATCCGATCGCGATGGAACAAAAGGCGTTCATCGCGGCGGCGTTTCAAAAAGTCACAGACGACGCCAAGGCGGTGTACGAGGATTCGATCTTACCCCCGAGACCTCCATCGCCCACGAGAGTGTACACATGATGCGTTCGTTCGCTTGCAGTAGTGCTCAGAGTAGGTTTTTGACAATAATACGATTTAGGACGATTTCGAAACACCGCGTGAGAGACCGCGCGTAGCCCAAGACGATACATCACAACCCGACGCGCGTCCCCGATGACGCTCGACGCGACGGTACGCGAGCGAACGCATAGAAGTGCCCATGAGGACGACGATGACGACGATGAATACGAACGCGCGGCGCTTGAGCGCGTGCGCGAGTGCATGGAGGCGTGCGGCGCGAGTGTCGATGACTCGAATCGTCACTTGGGCGGAGCTATTTTAAGCGAACCGGCACGCACGCTCGATGAACACGACGCGCGAGAAGAGAACGGAGAGATCGAAGAGTTAGCCTTAGCCACTATTATGCGCGACGATGGCGCGCACGATGAAGTGCGCGTGGTGGAGTCCAAGGTGTACGTAGACGACGAAGAGAACGGCGAGGCGAATGGTCATGGCGATTCACCGGCGCTCGCGCAAGCCCTGGAGGATGAACGAACGAAGAGGCAAAGCCTGGAGGGTGAACTCGACGCAAAGGATGCGGTACACGCGAATGCACTCGAGGCTCTCGCTCAAAAGATGCGCGACGCCGAGGCGGGACGAGCGGAGGCTGAGGCTGAGGTGAGTCACTTGCGAAGCGAGCTCGCGAGGATGGAAACGGTGATTCGACAAGAAGAGGGTGTCATACGATTACGTCTCGAGGCCGAGCACGAAGTTAGAGTTGGAAGATTAGCCACCGAGCTTGATCGCGTGCGAGGTGAGCTCGAAGCGCGGTCGCGGGATCTGGAAGAGACGTTCGAGCGCAACGAAAAAACGTTTGAAGAGCTCGAACGCGTGCGCGAACACCTGTTAGGGCGATTGAAAACCGAAACGCAAGGTATCCTAGGCACGGTTGACCGTGTTTTCGATGTCTTCGGATCGATTTCGAAGAGCTTACATCGAATCGACGCGGAAACGCCCCGGGTGTCGCAGATCGTTCCATCCAAACGAGATAGAACGCTCGTCATCGATGTGGCGAAGCACGCTTCGCGCGGTCACGCACTCGCCACCTCCGATCCGAGCACACCCACGAACTCGCGCTCGAGTCGACGATCGGGCAATGTTAACGCATTCATCCCTCCGGGGCGAAGGGATACTTCTTCGGGAGCGACTGCATCACAGCAGCAATCCGCCTCTCGACGATTTCAGTTATCCGCTCATCCCGATAGAAGAGCGAAGCCAGTCACCTCCAACAAAGGACTCGTGGGTTACGCCAACGCGCATTGACGAGAAGACGGGGAGCGGGGTGGGGCGATGGATCATCGTACCTCTATAAAAAATACCTAATCTTCTAGCTCGTCCCGACGATGAACGAGTTGCGAATTCGCTTGACTGAGTTACCAGTCGTGCGCCACTGCGCGGGAGTGGCATCGATGCTCAGAACGTAAAGCGTACCATCGACGATAGTGGCAGAAATAAGATAAATGTGCTCCGGATACAAGCATCCGACAGCGCTCGGACACGATTTGGGAGGCGGCGACGCGACAAGTTCCCAATCATAGAAGATGCGTCCTGAGTCCTTCTCCACGCGCTTTGCCGCACCGAGTAGATCAGCTCGACGATAAGAATCATCCAGCTCATCTAATCCCAGCGCTTTAGCCACTTGCACGTCCTCTGGCTTGCCCAAATCGACGATAGATTTCGCGCCAAAGTCCTTCTTGGCGTACACGAGCGCGTTCCTCACCGCCTCGCCGTTCACCGGGTCCACAAACGTCCCCCACTCCGTGCTATCGCGTTTCGTGTCGCTCTCACTCACTTTCCACAGACTACTGACTTCAAATGCGCATGGTTCGACGCCGTCGACGCCTCGTAAGCTTTCCCTTCGTTCGAAAGTTTGTTCCCCACTGTTGCGACTCATGACGTCTCGCATGGCGCGCTCAACCTCCTCCATCTCTTCCTCGAGCTCATCCCCGCCGCTCGCTTCGGTGCGCTCGGTCGCGGCGGCGCACATCACCGCCACGAATCCCACGATGCCCCGACACATCGCTCGACGCGTCGGTGCGTCGACCGCGCGCGAGCGACCGACGCGCGTTCGTTCGACGTCATCGCTCTCGCTCAGTGATGCTCGGTCGACGCGAGCGGACGCGCGCGAGGACGACGCGCGAGGACGCGCGCGAGGACGTCGCTCGCGCTCGCGTTTGGCGGCGACGACGATGGACGGACGCGCCGTCGAGGCGAAGGACATGACGAGCGATGTTCGCGCGCGCGGCGCGCACTGCGGCGGCGTCGCGGTCGAGCGCGCGTCAGAGCGATGACGGTTGTGCTCTCATTGGCGCAAACGTACATCGGTTGGTATTTCACAAGATAGCGGGTCAATTTCGAACGGCGCGACGCTGATACCTCCGCGGCTTCGCATCCGAGCGCAAGTAATCGTCCAGGGGGTCCGCCATCTTTGGCAAGGCGTTGAACCCGCCCTGAACTTTTTGACGCGGCTCTCCGCTCCCGCCGGGCTGTCGTCGCGCTTGGCCACCGCGAAGATGATCGGTGTTATGCGTGCCGACGGAGTGGTCATTAAGACCGAAATATTGTCTTGCCTCATCGCGAGCGGTGCCGTCGCCTTGTTGTCTCAAGTTTTGACCATTGAAGACGTTCGGCATTCCCGGCAGAGACTGAATCCCGAGCCCAGCGCCCGCGTTCTGGTGGTACGGGTTCGTCGGGTCTTTGTTTTGGTGCTCCAACATCACTTCCTGCTCAGCACTTCGCATGGCCTTTTCCATTTCAGAAAGCGGACGCTCGGGCTCTTCCGCTTTAGGTGGAATTCCGGGCAACGATGGACACACCTCGATGCGTGATTGCACGGCGTTCGCCGACACCTCGGCGTCCCTCTGCGACATGAGCGTGTCGTAAGATTTACCAAGCAAGGTTTGGAGCTCGTCGTCGACGGCCTTTTTACCAATGACCATAGTGAAATCGCCAGCTCCGAGACCGAACCGCGCTCGGACGGCGTGCATGATGGCAGCCACCAGTCGGTGCTGGTGCTGCGCTCGGCAGTTGAGCGAGAGAACGAGTGTGGTGCCCCCAGCTTTGCTCTTCTCGTCAGAATTTGCTTCCGACGTCTTATCGAGCTGCGCCGAAATGACTCGTTTGAGCTCTTTCGCGACTCTCCCGATGCGACGAGCTCGTTCCTCTTCTGCCTCTTCCGACGTGTCCTCTTCAGTATTTTTGAGAAGCGTGTGATCAAACGTCTCGTGGGCTCGCTCGATCCTGTCCTCCCGACGACGGTTAATGTGGTGCATGACTTCGTGAACCTTTTGTCGGACAAAATAATTTGCGATGCAATCGTTGCGATCCGCACCCGTGCCTTTGAAGCTCACGTCATATGCTTTGACGAGTCGAATCGCTTTGACGCGAAGAGAAAGAAGAGAGTGTGGTGAAGTGGATTCAGCGGCCGTGGCGGCGACAAACTTGGTGATGGCGTCCCGCGCGACATCTGGCACGTGGTCCCATATCGTGAAAACGGCCAGACCACCGGTAGAGCCGCACGTCGTGCCGTCTTCCGTGAAGCTCACCGCGCCGTCAAGAGAGTGAATCTCCTTCACTTTTTTCACCCAATCTTTTTGCTTCGGCGTCGGTTCGGCGTAGAGCGCCGCCAGACGCTTCTTCACCGCCTTCTCAATGGCCGCCTTCATTTCATCCTCCGATAATTCTTCCTTCTCCTCTTCCTTCTTCTCGTCGTCTACATTTGCTTCCGTCGACGACGACGTCTGCCTCGTCACGGAGGCGGTCTCGAAAGTCTCGTCCGCCGAGCGTACTTCCTCGCCACCCGCGCCCGTGGTCGTAGAGTCATCTTTGTCTTCCTCATTTTCATCCTCCACGACGTTCATCTTCCCTACATCAGCCGCCGAGTCCGCGTCTTCTCCCGTCCTCGCGTCCTCGTCCTCCGCCGCGACGCGCGTTCGCGACTCCGTCATCGTCGCCTTCGATGTTTCCGCCTCCTCCTCGTCCGCGATGTCTTCCACGACACCCCTCGCACCCGTCGTCGTCATCGTCGACGCGTTCATCGTCTGTCCCGCCCCCCCAGCCGCGGTCGTTCGCGTCACCCCCGATTCGGTCTCGAGCGCCAACACCCCGATCGCGCGCGCGACGACCGCGACGCACAGCGCGACGACCGCCCCCGCGCGCGGTCGCGGCCGTCGTCCTCGCCTATGCGTCGACGTCGACGCCATCGCGCGCGCGTCGGCGTCCGTCCGCCCGCGCGCGTGGACGATCGATCGCGATCGCGCCCACGGTCGGTCGCGCCCGTCGATGGGTCGAGCGCGTCGTGTGGGCGAACAGTACGCCGTGGCGTCCCTCGACGTGGATCAAAGACGACGATCGCGGTCGCATCGGTCGGTCGATCGATCGGTCGGTCGATCGATCGATCGGTCGATTGGTCGGTCGATCGGTCGGTCGGTCGGTCGATCGAAACGTCGATCGAAAGGTCGGTCGGTCGTCGTGTGACGATTCGTGTCGCCGAGGATGGACGCGCGTCCGAGAGCGCCAGGGCGCGACGGGCGAGCGATGGCGCGAGGCGAGAACGGGGACGAGGACGGGGTCGAGGGCGTGGAGCTGGAGATGGCGCGCGCGTACGAGGACGCGCTCGGACGGGCGCCGCGGGAGGGGACGGTGAGAGAGGCGCGCGCGTACGCCGGACGAGCGCTCGCGCGGGAACGCGGAGAAGGCTTGGACGGCTCGAAAGAAGAGATGGAGGCGAAGTGCGCGCGAGTGGCGATGATATCTCGATATCTCTCGCGCGCGCTCGAGAAGAGGGCGGGCGTGGGTGAGGAGGAGGATGCTCGAGACGCGCTGAAGACGCGGGCGGATTTCGACGTCCTCGTGCGAGAGCTGAGCGCCGCGTACGCTCGGTACCGCGGTGACGACGATTCAAACGTCTCGTGGTGTCCGCCTAGCACGTTTGAACGTCGAACGGTGAAATATTGGGTCCATCCAAGAGACGTCGTTCCGCTACAGTTGGAGATTTTGAAGCGTCTGCCCATTTTGGACTTTCGAGACCAACGCGTTGGCAAAGACGACCGCGAGAAGGATCAACGTGATGTCAGCGATAGATCGATGATCACGTCCGTGTATCTGGACAACTCAAACTGTGAAGTGTATCGTTCGCGCCTCGTCCGCGACCAAGGGGCGACGCTCGTTCGATGTCGTTGGTACGGAGGCGGTCGCTGGGACGACGTCTTCATCGAGCGAAAGACGCACCATGAATCTTGGTCCGGAGAGAAGAGCGTAAAGGAACGAGTGAAGATATCGAGAGCGACCGCGGTGTCAATTTTCGATGGACACACGCCGCTTCGTGATCTTCCCGCTTCAGATTCGGATTTGATAAACGAGGTACGGAGTTTGGAGATTGATCGTCGAAACATAAAACCGGTGCTCATGACGAAATATCGTCGCACCGCTTTCCAACGTTCCGATGGAAATCAGATACGGATTTCGATCGACACGGAATTGCAATGGCGGGATGTGCGCGACCTCGGAACTCGGGCAATCTCCAAATCCTCGCTTCATGATTTCTCTCCGCCATTTGCGTACGCCGTTCTCGAGGTGAAGCTCTCGTGTTCCGAGGAAGAGGAACTTATGGAGTGGATCGACGAGGTGACATCCACGTTCGATGTCATACAAGTGCATAAGTTTAGCAAGTTTCTTCACGGATGCGCGATGCACTTTCCTCGAGACGCCTTACACACGCTCCCGCACTGGTACGCGATTCAGATGACGGTTGGCGCAAAAGCTCGCGCGCATAGCGAAAAAGAGTCTCCTGATCTGGACATTGAGCGCACAGAATCATCGAGCTCCTTTACGGAGCTTTTGCGCACCCTGACTTCGGCGGTGGTGTGTCGACAGAAGGCAAAAGCATCTTTAGGTTCTTCGAAGAAGGAGGATGAAGGACGAGACGACGTCGAAGCGCCAGAAATGCGTCGACGATACATGCCAGTTAAAGTGGAGCCAAAGACTTTCTTCGCGAACGAGCGCACTCTTTTGCAATGGCTTTCTATGTCAATACTTCTTCTTTTCCTTGCTCTGGGACTGATGGCTGTCGATTTCGGTGGTGGTGACGGCGGCGCGGTGCCGTTTGCTGACGCGTCGAACGCGTCGTACACGATGCGAGGCCATTCCTTTGCTGGTGCCGTTTGCGGGATGATCATAGCCCCAATCGCGATACTCTTCATGCTCTACGCGCTATGGACGTACATGGTTCGAGCATGGCGAATAGCGCGTCGTGAACCGAGTACGAGATACGACGATGTTTTTGGACCGGTGGCGTTGGTCGCAATCCTCGTCGTCGTCGCGACAACCGCTGTCATCCTTAGCGCAATTTCTGTCGATTGGAACAACGTACGATACGATCGACTCTAGATTGACTTGGAATGGAAAAAATGAAAAAATACTTTGATTTTACATGAGGCGAACACGGCGTCGCCCTGTTGCTCGCTCGAGTCCCACTCACCGTGACTCTGCCAAAGCGGCGTCCTTCTTCTTCTTTGCCATTTCGCGAACCGCCGGTAGCGCACCCGGTGGCGTACCCTTCTTTCCAATGTTGTATACGCATGCGTACGGCAGAATGAGAGCGTCGGGGTCGATCGCGGCGCAAGCCTGGCGGATGGTTTCTTGCACCGCGCTCACCAAGGATTCCTCCGACGCGACCGGTCCTAAACTCGCGCGAACAATGTGCGTAAATCTGTGATCGCTCTCACTCGGCTTTGAGCACTTCACAACTTCAAACAAGGACGCGTCTTGGAACTTGTCCGCCCCCACGAGCGCTTGGGCGGTCGAGATCCCAAACTTTAATGCCCAGGATGAATCTGTCGCGACATCGGAGGGATTCTTCGCCTTGACGCCGATAAAGAGCACAACGTTTGCCTCATCAAAACCGAAAACAGGGATGTCTCTCCCGGCTTCGATCATCTCCAGCCTCTTTGCGTGGATCCTCGAAAAGGGTGACGTCCCGCTTTCGTCGTTCGGGACGTACGTCGCCACTTCTTTGCAAGCCAGTAGGTGCTCCACTTGATTCGCGTGTCCCATCTCGCACGCGTCGATGAGGTCTTCGAACACGGCGAACGCGTCACCAGGCGCGACGCTCTCGAACAGGGCGACGTTGAAGCACGAATTCGGTGTCTTCGAGTCTATTTTTTGTTCCCCATTCCCGAGCGCGTAGTGAAAGTGCGCGCTGACAAAGTTCGGGTGAAACCGCGCCACCTCGATGACGTGCAGCGCGCCCTCTAAAAACGTCCCGAAGATCGGTCTGGGCTCGTCCAGGGTGTCGTACACGTGAAACATCACCGTGCCATCGTACGTGGACGCCGGCGTCGACGCCTCGGCGACGTACGCGCGAACGTGTAGACGAGAATGAGTTACAGACGCGCGAGTAACCTTACCCATCGAGCGGGGAATCGACGGGCGATTCGACGCCACGCCGGCGGCGCACGCGCGCGAGGGACGCGCGAGCATGACGACCGCTTCGTTCCGTTTCGCCCTGCCGCGTCGAGCAGACGCCCACGGCTTGCGCCCGGGAGAAAGTGGCGCGGAACGTCCGCGTGGGGGCCGAGAGCCGAGGAAGGAAAACTTGGCTCTGGGCCAACGCGAGGGCTTGTTTATTGTTTTCGGTGTGTTGAGATTGCTTTACAAAACAGTCCATCATGGCTTACAAGGTGCCCTCCGCGGTGACATTCCAACCCTGCGGGTACTCACCCGCGCCGCGTCCTACGGCGGCGTTCGTAGGCACCCAACGCGACGCGTCCGCGGCGGAGCTGCGAAAAGCCTTCATCCGCATGTCGGCGAATCCCAAAAAGTCGAAATCAATCGAGCTATATTTGGCTTGAATCACCGCCCACAGGGCCCAGAAGGCGTGCGTCACCGGAGTCCAAGCCGCAACCTCCTCCTCGAGCGAATCGACGTCCGCCGACGACGAGGGAACTCCCAAATAAGATGAGTAAAACTCCCGACGGAGCGTGTGCTCGGGGTACTGATCGTAGTTGCACTCGAAACCGGCGAACTCGCAAAATAAGTTTGCCATATCGAACGCTCGAGGACCGTAGTCAGCGTACTCGTAATCGATCAGGGTCAAGTCGTCCGTCTGACGGTTGATGAGGAAGTTTCCGGCGTGAATGTCGTTGTGGCAGTAAACTGTGTGGCTGTTCACTTTGTCGCACCTCTCGCGAACCACCTCGAAGAGGAGGTGACGCGCTTCGTCGTCAATCTTTAAACCTTCAAGCACGGCTCGCTTGGCGCTATCGCCCTTGAACACTGTATGATCTTTCGTCACGCCGTATGCCAGATCAAACCAAAGCTGCAAGGTGTCCCAGATGGCGTGCGCGCGCGAGTGCTCCATGCCGCCCGCTCGAACGACGCGAGGCGCCAGGTCTGGATGCACTTCTTTGTGCAGACGTCTCATCTGCAGAGCGACCCGTCGGAGCAGCGCACCGCCACTAGCAAGCTCTTCCGGCGCGATGCTATCCGCCTCGATAAACTCTTCCACCAGTCCGTTCGCGAAGACGCCCAAAACTCTCGCCCCAAAGCCGTGCTCGTTCAAAACGTGCGTCGTCTCTCCTTGAACCTTGCGATGGGTGATGAACCGCTCGGTCCCCTTCCCAAACACGCGCACGACGACCATTCGAGCGACGGTCTGTCCCTCGACCGTCGTCTCATCGTCGGACACGCGTCTCACCTTGAATAAGGCGTTGGTGATGCCTCCGCGAACCGGGCTCACCTCGAGCGCGTCGTCGCGTTCATCTTTCCACCCTCGCACCGTCGCTCGAGCGATAAACTTCACCCCCGAGTACGACGCGTTCTGTTCACGCTCAACATTCAGTTCCATCGTCAATCGCACCGGGAGCGGGGTCGTGCACCGCACCAGCCCCTCGTCCCGATCGTCCCCAGCCCGCCCCAGCGCGCCGCGCGCGAGATGTGGATACTCGGCGTCATCGTCCTCGTTCGCCCCCGTCGACGCGTCCACGTCCACGTTCTCCCCGCACGACGCGTCCGAGGAGTGTCCACGCATCGATCGTCGCTTCGCCGCGCTCTCCACGTCCGCGCTCTCCACGGACGACGTCGCGGACATGCGTCGGGCGTCGTTCAAACGCGCGTCGGCCGTCACCGCGATCGCGCGCGCTGACACGCCTGAACCCTAGATCGATCGATCGATCGCGCGCGCGCGCGGTCGTCTCGATCGACACCGCGACTGGACCACTTAGTACGAGACGTCGAGCACCCATGGGTCGACCGTTTTTGGCGACGGCGCACGCGATCGGGACATGGAAAAATTTTGTATCACACGGGTTCAGAGACTCCCTACATCGATCGGTGATGGACGACCGCGACGACCGCGCGCGCTCGGGGCGCGGCATCGCGCGGATGCCGATCGAGTTCGATCGGTGGGCGAGCCGATGAAAGGTGCGGCACCGATCGAGACCGATCGACTTCGATCGGTGGGCGAACGGATCACCGACGGACGGACGCGCGGTGCCGCGCGCGGGGTCGATCGACGCGCGACGGAGACGTGCGGTCGTGTGCGCGAACAGTGCGACGGCGCGATCGTGCACGGTGCCGCCGACGCGACGCGCGACGCGTGGGACGTCCCGAGGGTGCGATCGCGCGATCGCGAACGATCGTTGACGTCGACGCGCGACCGCACACCGCGCGCGCTCGGACGGGAGCGCGGGATGATCACCGCGCGCGCGCCTGTGGTGGCGCCCGCGTCGTCGCGCGCGCGCGCGCGAGGGGGGCGCGGCGACGCGCGAGGGCGGTGCGAAGGGGTCGCGCGCGGGGTCGCGCCGCGCCTGGGACCGAGCGAACTCGCGCAGGTGAGCGCGAAGACGACGGTGGTGGGGACGCCGGCGACGCCGCGCGCGACGCCGCCGGCGACGGTGATCGGTGCCGGCGTCGCCGTCGCCGCGCTCGGCGTCGCGCTCGCGGCGAAGAAGGCGACGACGGACGCGCCCGCGCTCGCGAAGAAGCAAAAGAGGATCGTCATCGCGGGCGCCCCGGCGAGTGGGAAGGGGACGCAGTGCGAGATGATTGTGAAAAAGTTTGGTCTCACGCACATCTCCGCCGGTGATCTCCTCCGCGCCGCGGTCGCCGCGGGCACGGAGGCGGGGAAGAAGGCGAAGGAGTACATGGACCGAGGGGACTTGGTGCCGAACGACGTCGTCGTCACCATGGTGAAGGATCGCCTCGCGCAACCGGACTGCGCCAAGGGGTGGTTATTGGACGGTTATCCGAGAAGCGAAGAGCAAGCCCAGGCGCTGATCGAGAGCGGGATCAATCCAGATCTTTTCCTGTTGCTCGACGTTCCAGATGAAATTTTAATCGACCGCGTCGTCGGCCGCCGCTTGGATCCAGTGGACGGCACGATTTACCACATGACTTTCTTCCCGCCGCCGACGCCGGAAATTGCGGCGCGCTTGACCCAACGCAGCGACGATACCGAGGAGAAGGCGGCGAACCGTTTGGCGGTTCACCACCGCAACGTGGACGCCGTCGTCGGCAAGTACGCGAACATCATGAAGAATGTCGACGGTAACCGAGCCAAGCAAGACGTCTTCAAGGACATCGAGCGACTTATTAAGGCTATGTGATCCGTGGGATGAGCGCTCGGGCGCGCGTATTGTTCACTGCAAGGCTATTTCGGAGACGGGGCTGGTTCGCGTTTCGGGTACGCGCGCAAACTTAGCCGACAAAATTGATTCCCTTATTAATTGACGCCTGTAGTTCTGGTAACATGTTCTCCATCGCCCGCTTCTCGAACGGAGACATAGCGCCCGGCCCCGAGACGCGTTCGACGCCGTGTTTCCCCAACAGAACCTTGGTGGCGAAGAACGGCGCGCTCGCGACGGAGCTCTCCACGTACGCGCACGCCCAGATTCCCGACTCACCGCTCAGTCCCCTGAGACAGGCGTCCGCGAATTCCGCCGCGGCGGCCGCCATGGAAAGCGTCGCGCTTCCCGCGCCACCCTTCGCCTCGACGACCTCGGTGCCCCCGTTTTGAATGCGACGCGTCAACGCCGCCGCCTCTTCATCCGTAAACGCGCAACGCGGAGTCGTCTGCGAGAGCAGCGGCAAGATGGTCGCCCCCGCGTGTCCACCGATCACGGGAACATCAACGATCGTGGGATCGTCGAACCCCTTCGCTTCGGCGACGAACGTCCTCGCTCGCATCACATCCAGGTGCGTCACTCCCATGAGTTTGCGCGCGTCGTAACAACCGCTTCGCTTGAACACCTCCGCGGCGATGGGAACCGTGGAGTTCACGGGGTTGGATATGATGTTCACCAGCGCGTTGGGACACGAACGAGCGATCGCTTCGCAGAGCGTGCGAACGATCCCGGCGTTGACGCCGAACAAGTCGTCCCGCGACATGCCCGGCTTGCGAGGCACCCCGGCGGGGACGACGACCAAGTCGCACCCTCGCAAACACGCGTCCAACTCGGCGTCTCCCACGTACGCGCGCACTTTCGCTCGCGTATTAATGTGCGACAGGTCCACCCCCACCCCTCGGACCACGGGCGCGACGTCGTACAATCTGAGCTCTCGCACGCGCGCGTTCGCCTTGACGAACGCCGCGAGCGGTTGACCGATCCCTCCCGCGGCGCCGAGCACGGCGACGACGAAGCTCGATCGCCTCGACCCGATCGCGGCGACGCCGAAGAACCAATCGAGGACGCCCACGCCATCGGGCGCGCCGTCGTCGTCGGCCCCGGACGTCGGCGCGACGTGTCCAAGCAATCCGCGCACGCGTCGCCCCGCGCTCGACATCGCCTCGCGATCGCCCCGCGCGCGCGTTCGACGCCCGCGATCGTCCGCGACGTCGACCGCGAGGCGATCGTCCGCGGCGCCCGCGGCGAGGTGGCGCCGCGCGCGCGGGCGCGTCGATCGCGGGCGCGCGAGACGATTGTCACTGCGCGATGCGCCCGGCACCGCGCGTCGCGCGCGGTGACGCCGCTTCGGACGCGCGCGCGGGCGAGGCGCGGGCGCGGCGATCGACGGCGTCGCTCGCGCTCGGTCGCTCGCGCGCGACGGCGCGGGAGGACGTCGCGACGATGGATCTCGATCTCAACGACCGCGCGCGAGGCGAGCGATCGGAATCGGTCGAGGCGCGCGGAGCGACGGCGGGCGCGGCGATGGCGAGGATGAGAACCGCGGACGGACCCGCGTCGACGTCCGCGCCGGCGTCGAGCGCGGTGATGGAGGACGTCGCGACGGAGCTGAGAGAACAACGGGAGAGCAGAAGGAAAGCGCAACCGCGCGGACGCGTCACGGCGGAGGACGCGTCGCGAGGGGTCTTGGAGACGCGAGCGTCGGTGTTTCACGCGGACGCGGAGCGTACATTCAAGGCGAGGGGGGCGTGGCGCGAGGCGCTCGCGAGCGTGCGCGCCGCGAAACGAGGCGCTGCGGCGCGCGACGTGAGCGGGCTCGACTGGACGGACGTAGACGCGCTGTTTGCGTATTACGACGCGGTGTACTTTGAGCGTACACTCGGCGCGCGCGTGACGTTTTCTTGGCACGCGTCACCGGCGGACAAACACGACGAGGAGGAGGACGACGGCGTCGGCGCGCGAGCGAGATTCGACGAGTCGTTCAAGTACTGCTTGTGCAGCGACGTCCCAAAGTGGTGGCACGGCGCGAATCCCCGACAACTGTGCGTGGGCGTGTGCTGCATCGTCGAGAGAAGGGCTGCGCAATTCACGCGCGTGGCGCATCTGCGAATGCCGGACGTTTTACGTCGCTTCAAAATGACGCAGTTGACAAAGGAGGCTTTGTTGCACGGAATGATTCACGCCCATCTCTTCGTGACTGGTCACACGAGGGAGAACGCGGCGTTCAACGCGCACGACGATGCGTTCAAACGCCACGTGTATAGAATAAATAATGATGTTTTGACGCTCGACGTGTACAGACCGCCGGATAAGGGATACCGAATACGATGGTTCGATCGGGCGCGGGACGCGTCCGAGACGGATCCGGATCCGTCCAAAGCCATCGCCGCGGCGACGAGCGACGCCACGAGCTCCGCGAGGATACCGTTGCTCAAGACGTCCATGCTTGATGCGCTGTCGCCGGAGCACTATAAGTTGCTGTACTTTATTAGCAAGCACGGTCGAATAGCGGAAAAAGCAACCGACAAAGAGCGATGGGTTCGATACGTACCGATCATGGTATTAGTCTACGAGGCCATCGTGGCCGGTGTTTTCGAGTACGATTACGCCCCGTTCGGCGAAGACGTCGGGGAGAAACGTCTCACGCTCAACATCTCACAAGAGGCGAGGGACAATTTGGAGGATTTGGTCGAGGCTGGAATGGTTCGCTCGCTTCGAATGTCCACGGTTTTGGGCAAATCAAGCATGGCGTATCAGCCGTCGAAAATGGGTCTGGAGCACATGAAAAACGGCGGACTTTCGCGCGAAGACAGAGAGCTGTGTGATTCGTTTTTGTACGATCCCGCGGGTTCGCTCATGAAGGTTGCGTTCGACGCGGAGACGGGGACGTTCAAGCTGATTTCGGATCAAGGCTTCAACATGGACAGCACGGTGACGGAATCTGAAGATGTTTCTTACGTCTGTTCGCCGTATATTTGCCGTCAGTTCATGAAGAAGGCGCGTGAACCGCTCACGAGCTACGCCCATCGAGCGTCCGAGACGCTCCGCGGCTCGAGTTCAATCGCCGACGATTTGGACGTCACTTTGTCCTTGTCTCGCGTGATCATCATGGTTGTCGATTGGATTCCCACGAGCTGCACGCAAATCACGGAACTATCGCAGAGTCTCGGGGTTAATGATAGAAACAAGGGTGGGTACTACAGCTCGGAAATCGATCGAGCGAGCACGGATACGTGTCTCGAGCTTCCCGCGGGTCTCACGCGCATCAAGATTTGCTCATCCAACGCCGCGCAGTATTGCAACATGGAAGCAGAGGTTGAATATCCCGAGGCGGCGGGCATCACGCAAGTCGAAGCTTTCGGCATCCGTTACTTACGAGAGGGAGACTTACTGTTTGGTTTAAAGGTTGAGGCGGTGATGACAAAGATTTTGAACGACATCCCGGTTGATTGGCTGAGTAGAGTCGTGACTGATATTCAGGTAGATTCGACGACGTTGTCGACGAGCATGATGTCGCCCTATCAACGCGATCTACTCGATACGGTGTACGACGGTGACGTGACAAATAGACCAAAGTTTTCCATCTACTTGGCGGAGACGATTTCACCAAAGCTGCGCGCGCGCCATTACTTGGACGGCGATTCGATCGAAGCCGAAGTGAAGCAGCTCATCGGCGACACGCAGTTCGCACTCGACGTCACGGAGAGCGACGTCGTCATGGTTGGCGAATGTGGAATCATTTTCGCCGGTCCCGAGTGCGCGCGGCACGAGACGTTGCTGACCGCTTTCTGCATGCTGCGCTCGCGCGAAAACTTTTGCACGGTGCTTTATCGTAAACTTGGAACCATGAAGGAGGACTCTCTCGTCAAGCTGCGAATGTTTTTGGATTGCGCTCATGACGATCCTAACATGTTACAACGCGCACAGTTGGCGCTATCGTCCGCCACGACAGATTTGTATCGCGTCGGTGAAGCGATTAGACACGTGGAGGACGCGATGAAGACGCCAATAATTCAGTTCGGCGAGACTGTCGAAGGGGAAACGACCACCAGTGGGACGACGATGTACTACGCGCTGAACACAAAGTCAGCGAAGAGGTTGCGTCACGCGTTGGCGATCGAGGCGTTGGAGTCCACCATATCGAAAAGAATAATCGGTTGCGTGAAGCATTACAAGGCGAACGATGAACTTCTGCACGTCTTGCGCAAGCAAGTGACGAATTTGGTGAGGGACCGACGACAAAACACCGTCGCGAAGACCAAGGCGACGGTGGAGGAGACGCGAGAGCTCATGGAACGCGTCGGGAGCTACAATGCGCTCTCGCATGGCGTCTTGGCTTGGATTTATTTGGGATTTTTCTCGTTTCGTCTGTTCGACCGTTTCATCGGCTCCTGGAGCGTTCCCGAGAGCGTCGCCTTTGTGACGAAGAACATTCGATATCCTCTCATTTGGAACACGAACGCGGCTTGGATATTTATGAGCCTCGGGTTTTGGTTGGCGATCGCGGCTACTAGCGCTTTTACGATGCGTTTGTTTGGCGACAGGCGAGACGGCTTCATCGAGTGGACAATGTCCACGCGTCGCGTACTCTGCGTCAACACGCTCGTGCGATATCTCAAATTGAAACGCGACGTCGGCCATCAACAAGTTGTCGCGAGCGATGCGCACGGTTCGCAGATCACGCGCGTCACGTATAGGGAGATGCCGAACGGCATCTTTGACGCGTACGCAGCGAACGTGACGTTGACGGTGGACACGAGACGAGGTTACCTTTTGAAATCGCGCGTTCGCATCGCAAAGTCAGCTACGATCCCGGGACGGCTGTTCCCTAACGAGCTCCACGACCTTTTGCTGGGCGATCTCGAACTCAACGGCGTGTTGACGGATGGCGCGATAACGCAAAAGCTACGTGCCGCCAAGGCAAAGTCATCGCCGCGCGTTTTGCTGGTGCGAGCGAACGGCGAGTCGAGCACGCGCGAGGTTCTGATCACGAGCTCAAAGTTGACTCATTTGCGCGAGAAGATTGCGAGTAAATTTTGCTACCGCGTGAAGAATCTCGTGCGCGTCAACTTGGTGGCGCAAATCGACGCAAAAAATATCGACGAAGAGCCCATCGAGACGGATTCGCAAGTCGCGTCGCTCAAGGATCTTCAGCGCTTGAACGTCGTGTTTTACGGGAGACCGAAACCGAAGATGGCAAAGTACATTCATCACGCGCAAACGCAAAACGCTCGCGAGATGTCGATCAAGGAGCGCGTGACGCTCTTCAAAAAGAAGAAGATTTCAACAACTGTTCAGGAGATGTTTCCGGAACCGGATGACGAAAACGACGTAGGCTTTTAGATTGGTGACGTTCGGACGCGGCTCGACTCCGGGCGCCAGGTGCGTTTGCAAGCGGCGCGAGTGGAGTGCTGAAGACGATTGGCTGGCACACCCGCGACGTCGTCCAACTGCGAGGGTGGCGTGCGGATTCATGCGTGCAGATTCGTTCGGCATGAAGACGTTCCTTGGAAGATTCAACGACGCGAACCGCGAACGCGACACGAAATCCATCGCGGCCGTACTTCTTAAATATCGGTAGTATTACGATTATCCCTAAAGTGCTAGATGGTTGTTAATGAAAAGCGAGATGCAAGGTGCGGATTCGCGTGCGAACGCGATGCTCGTACGAATGAATACGCCGCGACGCGTCGCGCCTAAAAGTTGGCGGCGTCCCACATGTAGATTTGACCGCCGCGATCGGCGCCGAATTTGCTGACCACGCCCGTGCGGATGGAGTGTTGCTGAAGACCGATGAGGATGGTCTTGTCGTTCATGGCGACGTCGAGCTCAGCGAGTCGGCGAGCCGCACCGCCCATCATGGTTTGACGGAGAGCGCCGGAGGCGTCGGCGACGCCAGAGAACTCAGAACTCGTCGCGCTGTTGAAGGTGTTCGGAGGAACGGACACACCAGCCTTCATGCGCGTGTTCAAGCTGCCACCAGCCATGGCGATGAAGTCGTACGTCGCGTTCGTGTTGGCCGCCGGCATCTTGGCGACCATGAGGCGCTCGCCGTACCTGTTACCGCCATCCTCTTGGATCACGAAGTAGTCGTCGTACGTGTACGGAGCGCCATTAAGGGTGACATTGTTTGCACCCGCCGCGGTCGTCTTGGCCGCGATCCATTCGAGGCCGTCGATGTCCTCAAACGTGCGCTTCTCTGTGCCGTCGTTCATGTACTTTTGCGTGCGACCGTTGGCGGTTTGACCTTGCGTGCATCCGGTGCCGCCCGCGCAGAGGTTGACGCGCGTGTCAATGTCAGTCTCGCCTTCAATCATTTCGTAGGTACCATCGAAGTGCGTCGGGAAACCGCCCGCGGCGGCACCGTTGAGTTGGGACACCATTGATTGGACTTCATAGATGCCGAAGTAGCCAGCAGTCGAGCCTTGCACAAACTTTTGCTCACCAACCGGAGATGGAGAGTTGTGCTCAGTCTTGGCGCCACCCGCATCGTTACCCTTGGCGTTCCAGAACTTGTACACGCCAGTGACTCCGCTGGGGAGAACGGGTTCGATTTGCCAGTGGAACATGTCGGACTCCTCGACGTTCTTCACATTGGCCGAGTTGAACTGCCAGGCGATCTTCGCCCACTTACCATCGACGGTGTGCGTTGACGGTGATGCGGTGCGCACGTTGCCCTTGTGCCACTCGTCGCGATCAGTCGTGGCGTTCGGCACGGCGTAGCCGTACAGTTGACCAAACTCGAGACCGTTGCGCTCGAGGAACGTGCACGAGGCGCCGCACTTGGTGCCGTCAGCCTTGTAGCCCTTACGTCCGACGTAAATGCGCGCGGGAACGACGTTTTGCGGGTACACCCAGTCCTTACCATCCGGGCGCTTCGCCGCGATGGCTTTGCGTCGGTCGACGATGGCGGTCTTCATGGCATCGCCACCAAAGTTGCCGTTGTAGCCGGAAGGAGAGAAGCACACAAAGTCTTCGTGGCCGCAGTTGAATTCGACAACCTTCTCAAAGCCGCCTTGACCGAAAGCGCCGGTCGCGTACAGCTTCTTCGAGGCGATGTCGATGACGTGCGCGGTGAGACCGGCGAAGCCGTGCGTCGCAGTCTTGGCGGCATCGAGATCCGTCCATTCTTCGACGGTGACCCACATGTCGTTTTCAACGCCGTACGTGACGCCGGAGGCAGAACCGGACCACTGTCGCGCTTCTTCGAGGTGAGACGAGCAGAAGGAGTGGAACGTCCACGCGTTGGAGGCAACCGCGTCGGCGTTGGCGATGTCTTCAGTGACGTAGTGGCCATCGACGGACGTGTCACCTAAGTGGGCGCCCACGGTGATTTGGTTCGTGCCACTGCGCGCGACGACCATTTCGCCCTTCATGTTGTAGACTTCAGTGAACAAGGACCCAGCTTCTTTCACGGCGGGAGCCGCGCTGGCAGAGTTTGAATCCGCCGTGGTGGCAAAACCGTACGAGAGCTTGGTGAGATCCGACGTGGAGTATGCAGCCGCGCTGGTCGGCATGCGGTAGTCGATGTACGACACGTGCGAACCGGTGAACTTGGCGCCGTTGCCGTTCACGGGCATAAACCACGATCGACCACCGGAAAGGTAGCCGTAAGATTCGGCTTGGAAAATGACGCGAAGCGTGTCGATGTCCTTGCGCATGACGCCGAGACCGTCCGGCACGCCGACCGGCACGTAGCCGGTGTTCGCATCGGCCTCGCCGATGGTGAGAATCGGCGCGAGCGGACCGAAGCCCCAGTCAGTCTTACCATCCTTACCGTCGCCAATGTACTTGAATTCAGGGTTACCGGCGCCGTCGGAGGCGTCGCCGGATTCCGCCAGGCGCGCCGTGTGCCAGCCGATCGGCTTCACCTTGGCCGACCACGCAGTGTAGTGGTCATCGATGGCACCCACGACGGATGCGTACGCGTGCTGCAACCACGGCTGCGCGCCGCTGCGATCAACGTTTTGATCGCGCTGCGACCACGTTCGCGAGCTGGTTCGATCCACGTTCACGACATCCCACATGTAGATTTGACCGCCGCGATCGGCGCCGAATTTGCTGACCACACCTGTGCGGATGGAGTGTTGCTGAAGACCGATGAGGATGGTCTTTTCGTTCATGGCGACGTCGAGCTCGGCGAGTCGGCGAGCCGCACCGCCCATCATGGTTTGACGGAGAGCGCCGGAGGCGTCGGCGACGCCAGAGAACTCAGAACTCGTCGCGCTGTTGAAGGTGTTCGGAGGAACGGACACACCAGCCTTCATGCGCGTGTTCAAGCTGCCACCAGCCATGGCGATGAAGTCGTACGTCGCGTTCGTGTTGGCCGCCGGCATCTTGGCGACCATGAGGCGCTCGCCGTACCTGTTACCGCCATCCTCTTGGATCACGAAGTAGTCGTCGTACGCGTACTTCTTGCCATTGAGGGTGACACTGTTTGCACCCGCCGCGGTCGTCTTGGCCGCGATCCATTCGAGACCGTCGATGTCCTCAAACGTGCGCTTCTCTGTGCCGTCGTTCATGTACTTTTGCGTGCGACCGTTGGCGGTTTGACCTTGCATGCATCCGGTGCCGTCCGCGCAGAGGTTGACGCGCGTGTCAATGTCAGTCTCGCCTTCAATCATTTCGTAGGTACCATCGAAGTGCGTCGGGAAACCGCCCGCGGCGGCACCGTTGAGTTGGGACACCATTGATTGGACTTCATAGATGCCGAAGTAGCCAGCAGTCGAGCCTTGCACAAACTTTTGCTCACCAACCGGAGATGGAGAGTTGTGCTCAGTCTTGGCGCCGGCCGCATCGTTACCCTTGGCGTTCCAGAACTTGTAGCCAGTGACTCCGCTGGGGAGAACGGGTTCGATTTGCCAGTGGAACATGTCGGACTCCTCGACGTTCTTCACATTGGACGAGTTGAACTGCCAGGCGATCTTCGCCCACTTACCAGCGACGGTGTGCGTTGGCGTTGATGCGGTGCGCACGTTGCCCTTGTGCCACGCGTCGCGATCAGTCGTGGCGGTCGGCACGGCGTAGCCGTACAGTTGACCAAACTCGAGACCGTTGCGCTCGAGGAACGTGCACGAGGCGCCGCACTTGGTGCCGTCAGCCTTGTAGCCCTTACGTCCGACGTAAATGCGCGCGGGAACGACGTTTTGCGGGTACACCCAGTCCTTACCATCCGGGCGCTTCGCCGCGATGGCTTTGCGTCGGTCGACGATGGCGGTCTTCATGGCATCGCCACCAAAGTTGCCGTTGTAGCCGGAAGGAGAGAAGCACACAAAGTCTTCGTGGCCGCAGTTGAATTCGACAACCTTCTCAAAGCCGCCTTGACCGAAAGCGCCGGTCGCGTACAGCTTCTTCGAGGCGATGTCGATGACGTGCGCGGTGAGACCGGCGAAGCCGTGCGTCGCAGTCTTGGCGGCATCGAGATCCGTCCATTCTTCAACGGTGACCCACATGTCGTTTTCAACGCCGTACGTGACGCCGGAGGCAGAACCGGACCACTGTCGCGCTTCTTCGAGGTGAGACGAGCAGAAGGAGTGGAACGTCCACGCGTTGGAGGCAACCGCGTCGGCGTTGGCGATGTCTTCAGTGACGTAGTGGCCATCGACGGACGTGTCACCTAAGTGGGCGCCCACGGTGATTTGGTTCGTGCCACTGCGCGCGACGACCATTTCGCCCTTCATGTTGTAGACTTCAGTGAACAAGGACCCAGCTTCTTTCACGGCGGGAGCCGCGCTGACGGCGTTTGAATCCGCCGTGGTGGCAAAACCGTACGAGAGCTTGGTGAGATCCGACGTGGAGTATGCAGCCGCGCTGGTCGGCATGCGGTAGTCGATGTACGACACGTGCGAACCGGTGAACTTGGCGCCGTTGCCGTTCACGGGCATAAACCACGATCGACCACCGGAAAGGTAGCCGTAAGATTCGGCTTGGAAAATGACGCGAAGCGTGTCGATGTCCTTGCGCATGACGCCGAGACCGTCCGGCACGCCGACCGGCACGTAGCCGGTGTTCGCATCGGCCTCGCCGATGGTGAGAATCGGCGCGAGCGGACCGAAGCCCCAGTCAGTCTTACCATCCTTACCGTCGCCAATGTACTTGAATTCAGGGTTACCGGCGCCGTCGGAGGCGTCGCCGGATTCCGCCAGGCGCGCCGTGTGCCAGCCGATCGGCTTCACCTTGGCCGACCACTCAGTGTAGTGGTCATCGATGGCACCCACGACGGATGCGTACGCGTGTTGCAACCACGGCTGCGCGCCGCTGTGATCAACCTTCTTCATTTCAGACGCCAAGTTGGTGACGACGGTGGCGCCCGGCGTGGGATCGGTTGAGCATTCCTTCAGATTGCCCACCATCGCGGCGGCAACGATGGCCGCCAACGCCCCCGCCGTGCCAACACCGGCGCTGCAGATGCTCCATGCGTTCGATTGTCGCGGCACTCCAACCGCAACGTCCGCGGCGTATCCCTTTTCCGCGTCCATCGCGCGCGCGAACGAACACCGAGTGCGCCGCGATGTGTCGGAAATTGCAATATTCGTAGAATTTTCGTCTCTCACGCACGGGTCATGACTCAACGATACCAACCGTCTTTTACGTTGAAAGTTGAACACGAATATTCCCTCGAGTCGCGATGATGACGTCGCCCGCGCGACGCCGTGCGCGGCAACGGGCCCGACGCGCGCTCGCGCGGCGTCGAACGAAGCGTTTGATGCGCTTCGCGCGAAAGGCGTGCCGTCGCGCCCGGAACTGAATCGAGGGAACGTTCGCGAGGTCGTCCAGCGTCATTTTTCTTCGGAGACGAACCGGCAGGAAGGTGATCGAACGCCGTCGCGAGACTGTCGGGTACGAACGCGGAGCGGGGGATGAGAGCGGTGCTACACCGGTATCGCACGGCTACGGTGCGCGGTTTTGCCTCGGCGGTGCGCGTAAAGCCCTCGTGCTACGCTCCGGAAATGTGCTTGTTCTTGATTCACTCAAACGCGTGTACTGCTTGTTTGTTAGAGGTTATTTGTCCACGTTTCATCTGGGCGTGAGCTCCTTGAACGGAGTTTCACGCAAAACAGGATGTTACAACGTGCTAGAAATCGCTCATCTCAATGTTCGTCACTGGCAAGAAAATGTTCTTTTCGACTCGTGCAGGGCGCGACGGCGGTTGGTTGTTGTGGTCGTCCATTTGATTCTCGAGTGGCGTGTAGTGCGCCATGATCTGTCGAATCTCTTTATCCATGTAAGACCGCGCTCGGTACTGATACAACGCGTACGATGCGCTCGCGACGGCGAGTGCCGAAATCAGTCAAAATTTGAAAGCCTGAGCAACGCTTCTTGCGACGCGTTCACGTCGTCCACATCGTGTCGTCGCCGAGACGACGACTCGCGCTCGCGCCGCATCCGACCACGCACGCCATATCTCGATCGCACACCGACGTCCGACACGAGAACACGCTCGCATGCCCCCCCTCTTCGCCCAGAATCTCCATCGCGCACGTCCCACAGCGTCCTTCGAGACACCACTCCCCGCCGTCCTCGAGAGACACGGCTCCGGCTGAAGCCGCCGCCGCGAGGAGATTTGCCCCCGCCACCGCGACGTGTTCAATCACCGATCCCGAGCTCGCGTCGACGAATGTCACCTTGACCGACGACGTCGACGCCTCGCACGACGCTCCCGTCGTCGCGCGCGCCCGCGGCGGCGGCGATGGCGGACGACGACCACGACGAGCGAGCGTTCGTCGCGGCGCGAGCGCCGACGGACGCCGCGCGCGAGGGGCGCCGACGGACGCGAGCACCGTCGTCGAGCGAGCCATCGCGGGAGACCGCCGTCGTGGCCCCCGTCGCGACGCCGCGAACGCGCGACGACGACTGCGGCGGTGGTGCTCGCGACGCGTCGACGTCGCTCTCGACACCATCGCGACAGCGTCCGCACACGCCCGCGCGTGCGTTCGCGCGCATGCGCCGCGGTCGCGACGCATCGCGCGTTCGATCTCGACCGCGGTCGTCGATCGCGACGCTCGTCGTCGCCCTCACCGGCGTCGTCGCGTCGTCGTTCGCCACGCGCGCGCTCGGCGCGAGATTCAAGGTGGAGATCGCCACGCTGCGCGTGCAGTCCCCGACGAGCGTGAGCGGGCGGTACGACGTAGCGATCGCAAACTTTGGACGCACGCTTTACGGCGCGACGCTGACGGGTGTGCTCACGTATCCGCGCGAAACGTCGCAACGGACGGGATGCGGCGACGACGCGGTCATCACTCTTCCAGACGACGCCGAGGCGACGCGCATGGCGATCATCTTACTTCTCGATCGCGGAGGGTGTCCGTTCACTGAGAAAGTCATGAACGGACAGCGCGCGGGCGCAGACGCCGTGATCATCGTGGATAACACCGACGAGCCGCTGTTGACGATGGATGCGGCGGCGGACGCGGGCTCTGATGTGGATTCCAAAATCACGGTTCCCGCCGCGTTGATCACAAAGGCGGATGGTAACAAGTTTGAGAACGCGATCGTGAACGACGAGCGCGTCGTGGGGACGATGGATTGGCACGACATCCTTCCGCACCCGGATTCACGCGTCGAGTGGGAGTTGTGGAGCGAGACGAACGACGAGTGCGGTCGCGCGTGCCAAGCTCAAAACGCGTTTCTGCGCGACTTCAAAGCAATCGCACAAAGCCTCGAGCGCGGCGGATACACGCAGTTCACTCCGCATTACCTCACCTGGGAGTGCATGGACGTGCCACCGACTTCAAAAGAATGTCAGGCGCAGTGCGTCAACGTCGGTCGATACTGCGCGCCCGATCCCGAAGAAGACATAAATTCCGGCTACTCCGGAGCGGACGTAGTGATTGATAACCTTCGCGCACTTTGTGTCTTTGACGTGGTGAACAAGACCGGGAGCCCGTGGTTGTGGTGGGATTACGTAGCGGACTTTTCGCTGCAGTGTACGATGCAGAACGGCAACTTTGCCTTGCGCTCGTGCGCCGAGTCCATCATGAAGACTATCGGAGTGGACGCGGTAGCCGTGGACGCGTGCGTTGGCGATACGTCCGCAGATCGCACGAACCCGATGCTCGAGGCTCAAATCGCGTTGCAGAGTCCGCCGGAGAGCAGCTCCAGGCCTGACATTCGGCTTTTGCCAACGGTTCTGATCAACGAAGAACGTTACTCTGGGAAACTCGCGCGAGGCGAAGTGCTCACGGCGCTCTGCGCAGGGTTCGAGGAACACTCAATACCATCGATGTGCAGCGACGCTGGACTGATGCACGCGATGTGCGTTCGGGGGCAGGAAGGGGACACGACGTGCTCGGCTGATGCACAGGGTGACGGTCGAACGGCGTGTCGGGAAACGAGTGCTTTTCCATTCTTCGAATGTGTCTGTCCTGAAGGTTCTCAAAGCTTGGTCGGACCCGACGACAAAATGAAGTGCGAGTCAGTCAACAAGTGCGCGCAGGCGATGCACGACATGGCGAACTGCTCGTGCGAACGATGCGTGTGCACGAATCTCGACGAAGGACGTTTTCAGTGCAAAACACAGAACAAAACAATGTGCGAATCGCCGCTCGCACGCGGAGCGACGTCGCAGGGAGGATGCTGGGCGAATGACGGATTTACGGCGTGCGTGGACAACATCGAGGCAAAGAAAAAAGCTAGCCGGGAAGGACGCGATCCCGACACCGTGCCCGACGTCGTGTGTCGGTGTCCAAAAGGCTTTGAGGGTGACGGGAAATCGTGTCACGAGATCGATGAGTGCGCAACAAAATGCAAGGGCTCGCACGCGAAGTGTTCGAACACGTACGGGAGTTACACGTGCACGTGCGCGGATGGATACGTCACGAGCTACCAGCCCGCACCGGTGGACGATTACGTGTGTCTCAGTCAGCATCGAGGCGGCGGCGCGTCGCTGGTCATTACATCTGCATTGATGTCAGTACTCGCCGTCGCGAGCGCATCGTACGCGTTTTATCAGTACCGAGCGCGGTCGTACATGGATAAAGAGATTCGACAAATCATGGCGCAATACATGCCACTGGAGAATCAAATGGACGACGACGACGACGACTCGCCGTACGACCAACCGCCTTCTCGCCCTGCGCGAGTGGTCAAGCAAAGTTTCTTGCCGGTGACGAACACGGAGATGAGCGATTTCTAGGACATTCCTGGGATTTTGTAACAACCTAAATGTGAACTGATTACAAAGTACAATAGTTTCCTAGAAACCATTCAATGACATCACCGGGAGCGATTTGCATCGCTCGCTCCGTCATCTGTGCGCGTCCCGTCATTCGCGGGACGGACTATTTTTCAGTTCTCAGAAACTCGCTTGGATCTATCGACAGATTTAGGGTTTAGGGTTCTAGGGTTTAGGGTTTAGGGTTTAGGGTTTAGGGTTTAGGGTTTAGGGTTTAGGGTTTAGGGTTTAGGGTTTAGGGTTTAGGGTTTAGGGTTTAGGGTTTAGGGTTTAGGGTTTAGGGTTTAGG